GCCCTATATTTTTCTCCCAATTCCCAACCAAGAGAAACAAAAACTTTCCACCCATCCAAACATGTTAACTTTTCTGCCTTTGTAGTTATTATATGAATTTGCTTCCTTGTAAGATTCAAATTGTCTGCAATTTATGTATTATGTAGCTGCAAACTTGAAACTGGGAAATTAAAGTCTTAGGGTGTGTTTGGTTCGCACATAGGAATCGGAATCGGAATGGGTATCAAATACTTGGTAATGGTAATGGGTTTTGGTGAAAGTATTTAACATGTTTGGTAGTAGGGTGGAATGGGAATGGTTACTAATAGTAGTGGTTAAGAATGAATAAGGGAATGAAACCCTTATTGTATTTGGGTATGGGTTTTTCAATTGATGGGGTATTCGAAACCCATAGTAGTGTTCTAAAAACCTATTAACCAAACAACAACAATCACTTTCATACCCATTCCTATGGGCAAAACCCACCAACCAAACACACCCTTAGTTTGCATTTCTGGTCTATTCACTTTATTCATTCTTGAATGAAAAGAAAAGCACTCAGTCATTGTAATTATAGCTACTCTTGTAGATATGTAAACACATTGTATAGTATTCACTGCATCTTGTTATTTTCTTTTATTGGCCTTCTTCTGTAGTGAACTTTTACAATTCTGGATGTTGATCTTTAGACCTTTGCAAATGTTTTCCTTTGATTAATCCATCTTTATAGGTCATTTCTTTTGACTGATATTTTCCATAAGAATTTTTAGGTACTGAATTCACACAAGAATTCTAGGCATTAGAAATATTTGCTCGAGGAAAAATATAGTAGTTATGAACTTGGATTCTTGGAAGTAAAAGAACTATATCTTTAATATCGGATGTACTCAGAGAGTGTTCAGACTAGATTAGTGATACTGTCAGAATGTAAATCATTGTACAAAAATTATCTTGTGTAGATGCCGCCGCCGATTTTAAAAGCAGTGTTCAAGAGGCTATTATTTTGTGAAGTATAAAGCAATATCAATAATATAGTTATGGACTTATGGCTTTGTGCAGTGATGTGAAGGTGTTATATGGGAATGGTTTTCCATAACTGTACTGTAAAAGAAAAATATTTTTTGGGTTTAGAATGTAATGTTATGGTCAGGGCCATCTATTATCATAATCTGGCTGTTCTACCTCCAACATAATGATATTCTCTTTCGTCAATCAAGATGTTAAAGCTTTCTCCACATGTACAGAGGATCTTCCAAAACGATGAATATTTATCCCAAGTTTTATAATCTTATTTGCAGGTGGTTCAAAACATGCATCTAAGAATGAGGATGAAGTTTTAAATCAGATCCTGGGCTATGAACAGAAGGAATCAATTTCATCAGGCAGACTTTCCCATGATCAACAGACACATGTTGCTTCATCTTCACACAGTCAAGAAGTCTCCACTAAGGATGGGGTAGGAGGTCAGCATGCAGATCATCACCCAAGTCAAGTGTTGAATGAGATGGTATCCACTACTCCTGAAGAATTACGCCAGCAAGCTATGGATGAAAAGAAGAAGCATCGAACTTTAAAAGCAGAAGGAAAATCTGAAGAAGCCCTCAGAGCCTTTAAAAGGGGGAAAGAGCTTGAGAGACAGGCTGCAGCTTTGGAGGTGCAGCTTAGGAAAAATCGTAAAAGGGCTTTGTCTTCCAGCAACTTCTCAGACATCCATAGAGATACTGATGAATCCATTGGATCTAGTAGGAAAAGTAAGTCCTCTCAAACAAGTGAAAAAAAGGATGATCTTGCCTCTGAACTAAGAGAGCTGGGATGGTCCGATATGGATCTCCATGAAGCTGACAAAAAGCCAGCAACAGTGAGTCTGGAGGGTGAGCTCTCTGCCCTTCTTGGAGAAGTATCTCAAAAACCAAATGCAGGAAAGAGAACCCAAACCTCTGATAAGTCCCAAGTTATTGCTCACAAGAAGAAGGCTCTAGAATTCAAGCGTGAAGGGAAACTTTCTGAGGCCAAAGAGGAACTAAAGAAAGCTAAAATACTTGAAAAGCAAATTGAGGAACAGGAATTGCTGATGGATTCTGAAGATTCTGATGATGAAATGTCTTCTTTGATCCGTAGCTTAGGTGCAGATACACAAGAAGAGCTGTCAGTGGGAGTGAATTTAGACTCTAGCTTTGATTTTGATGACATTTTTTCTGTTGCTGATAATCTTGGTGCTGATCTCGAAGTGACTGAGGATGACTTGGATGATCCAGAAATGGCTGCTGCTTTAAAATCATTGGGTTGGGGTGAAGATGGCCCTGAATCTGTGACTTCAGATGTTCATTTTGTCCCTATTGATAGGGAAGCAAAACTGACGGAAGTTCAAACCTTGAAAAAAGAAGCTCTAAATCAGAAAAGGGTTGGTAATACTGCAAAGGCAATGGAACTGTTAAAGAAGGCAAAGATGATTGAGAAAGAACTTGACAGCTCTCTTTCCCAACAAACTGACATGATGGCACACAGTTCTGTGATGGTTCCGAATGCCCAGACCCTACCTGTGGAAGAGCCTCTGAAAATAAACGAGAACAGAAATGTCCATGAACCTAAAACGGCACCAAAAAATAAATTGATGATCCAGAAAGAGCTTCTCAGTTTGAAGAAGAAAGCTCTTGCTTTAAGAAGGGAAGGTAGGGTAGATGAAGCAGAAGAAGAACTGAGAAAAGGTAAGGTTCTTGAGAAGCAGCTTGAAGAATTTGATAGTGCTCCCAAAGCTGTGCAGCCACCTGTTAGGAATATGGGTAATGATTACATTACAGACACTGATATTGGGGATAATGAGGATGTAACAGATCTTGACATGCAGGATCCAAACTATCTTTCAGTTCTAAAGAATTTGGGTTGGCAGGATGAAGATAGTGAAAATGTGACCTCTACATCTCAGGTGAAAATCAATGCATCTGCTAGTGATGATTTTTCAGTTCCAAAGCTTGGGGGTTCTATAAAAAGTAAAGGTGAGATCCAGAAGGAACTTCTGAGTTTAAAAAGGAAGGCTCTTGCCTTGAGACGTCAAGGAGAAACTGAGGAGGCCGAGGAAGTGCTGGAAACGGCAAAGAAATTGGAGGCACAGCTTGTTGAAATTGAATCTTCGACTCTTAATGGAGTAAATGCTGAACCTAACATGCATAAAGAGCCGAATATTATTGATTCTCCCCTCGAGAATTTGAGTTTTAGTGCTCCATTAGATTCAAAAAGTGAGCCCATTGAGGATTTGGGAAGCAAGAGCAAGGATATTCCCAAGAAACGAGAAGAGAAGGTTAATGCAGATAAGAAGCCATCCAATGCTATACAGCAAACCACTCCCCAAAGTGACTTGAATTTGCTTCATCAAGAGATCCTTGCTCATAAGAAGAAGGCAGTTGCATTGAAGAGAGAGGGGAAATTGACAGAAGCTAAGGAGGAACTTCGACAGGCAAAAGCTTTGGAGAAGCGCCTGGAGGAGGAAAAATCTCTAACTTCTGGTTCTGCCGATGTTTCTGGTCTTGATACTTCACCTTCCAAGTCCAAAGATATAAGTCCTACCCCTGTGTCAAAACCTTTATCTGGACATGAGGAAAAATCTCTTACTTCTGGTTCTGCTGATGTTTCTGGTCCTGATACTTCACCTTCCAAGCCCAAAAATACAAGTCCTACCCCTGGGCCAAAACCTTTATCTGGACGTGAGCGCTTTAAATTGCAGCAACAGTCTCTTAACCACAAAAGGCAGGCACTTAAGCTGCGAAGGGAAGGCCGATCAGAAGAAGCTGATGCTGAATTTGAAAAAGCAAAGGCCATTGAAGCCCAACTGGAGGAATTGACCACAGGGTCTTCTGGTCATGGAGCAGAACCAACAGATGGGGTTAGTGTTGAGGATTTTCTTGATCCTCAGCTTTTGTCCGCCTTGGCAGCCATTGGAATTTCAGATACTGCTGTTGGATCCCAAGGGCCTGAAAAATTGGAGGCACAAAGTTCAGTGGCTAGCAAGGTGGACACTGGTGGACCCCAAGGCCATCAAAGATCAGAGTCAAAAAAATCTACCACTGGTATGGTCAACAACACTGCCGAAGAGAAGATGCAGTTGGAAGAGAAGATTAAGGCCGAGAAGTTAAAGGCATTAAACTTGAAACGTTCTGGAAAGCAGGCTGAAGCCCTAGCTGCCCTTCGTCAGGCCAAACTCTTTGAAAAGGAGTTGAATTCTTTAAATTCTCAACAGTAATGGGTTGTAACCAAGTGTTTCCTCTAGACCTGGGATATTTCCACTGCAAGAAGGAATAAGTGTGATTATATTCCTTTTCTATTTTTTGTACAGGCTCAGCTCAATGATATTACATTGGAGCGACTTCAGAAGACTGAGTTCATTGAGTTTACATCTTTAAAGAACATATATGATATTCTTCCAACCTATTTTCTTTGGGATGACTGAACTTTGATCTCTTTACCCAGTGATGCTTTCATGAAAAACCTTGACATTGTTTTGCATAGACATGGAATCATGTTGGCAGATCTCCAGCTTCTCTGTCAAATTCAATACTTAATGCCCTAATTTGTATTGAAGATAGAATCTCTCACCTAGACATTCTTGTACTTTATTTTGAATTCCTCCAAATATTTTGTTTGGTACCATATAGTCATATAGACATACTTCCAAAACCTACTTGGGTTCATGTTGTGTATCCTCTGTACAAATTGTGATCATAGTGCCCGCATGGGCAGCTCAACTGGTCATAGAGGTAAAAGTTGGAAAGAATTGTGATCATAGTCCATATGGACTTGTTTCAAAGACAGTAGCTTCCATGTGAGAAATTATAGTTTCATGTATACTTGCAATGAACACATGAATGTACAACTCTAGTCATGTAAACTCATTATATTCGTTATTACTTTTAGATGACAAGGGAACCTTGCCCCTGTTAACGGACTGAGAGGATGTTGGCAAGAAGAATCGGACACGTGACTTTTGGTATTATTTTTGTTTTGAAGCATGGCATAGCATGAATGCATGATAGATGAATTAAAAACACATAAATATTATTCAGTTTCTTTTCACAACTTCCACAGACAAACCCATTTTACAACCTAAAGCACATAATGAAACCTGAATTTCTTCCACTTTTTCCTTCACACATTACACAAAGCCAAGAAAACTGCACCAAAATCTAACTATTCCATGTTATATCAGATCAGATCAATAGATCATATCAAGCTGCAGATAAAGGCAATGTTTTGTATCTGTCAATCTGCAATCCAGACTCCACCTCCATCAATGCACCTGCATATATTTTCCCAAACATCAAACCAACACACATCAAAGTTTAATTTGTAAACATTCTCCTTTCTAGAGAATCAAGATAGGGACAACCCAGCCAAGTTGGTCAGGTTATTGACTTGGTAACCAGTTACAAGTTCCACTTCCAGTGAAAACGGCCTATTGGCCGTCTTGATTTAAGTCATGGACAACCTAGACTGGTTTACTTATTTGTAATCCTTTACAATTAGAATCACAAAATAAACCACCCTTGGGTAGTGGTTTTGGGTTTCCCCTGTACATCAACCAAAAAAGAATGAAGCTAAGGGGGATATGAAAAGTAAGTTGTACCTTGAGGCAAACAAATAGGGGGGTCTTCAAAGAGAGAAAAAGACAACTCCTTGTAAGCCAGGCCAATATCGAACAAGATCAACCCAGACAAAGGGTCATAAACTATGATCTCCTTAACAGGCAGCCATAGAAACAGCTCTTCCTGAGACAGACCCTCCAACCCAGTCAGCCCACCATAGCTCAGATTAGCTCTCACAACACTATCAAACATCACCATCGTCTCGTACTTGGCCACGCACGGCCGCTCAAAGAACACCTCCAGCCGCCCATTCTCATCAAGATCATAGTACTCCACCGCATTCTTGGGGAACAGCCCCGCAGGAAGCCCCTTGCTCCTCAGAAGATCATGAATGTCAGCTTTTGAGGTGGCCGCCGCCGTGAGGAACAGAAGAACAACCAGTGTGTGGATCATGGCAGAATTGTACGAGGATTGAGAGTGAAAGTAGGGGATTTTAAACAGGGTTTATGGCGTGAACGTTGGATTCCGTTAATCCCATCCATCATATTTTGACAGGATGCCCATTGTTTTATACTTTTTTATTTTTTGAAGATTTTCGTGCGGATAAGGTTAAGGACAATAGTATATCGAGTAAAGATTTTAGTCTGAATTATACAATTTTATTTCTTTAATTAAAAAGATACTCATGCTTAGATCACATACAAATTTAAATTACCATTAATTACTCATTTTTGCTATTATTAAACTTGATTTGATTATATCCCGTAAAACAACCAAATCAAAATAGTGTTGCAATTATCATATGATCCACCATGTTACAAAGTATATTTTAGTAAGGTTGGATGTTTGAACCTTATAAACAGTATTATTTTTCTCCGAATATGCAAATACCAAATGTTTAAACTTATTGAAAAAAAAAAAACTAAAAACAAAAATTCATGCATGAAGAAGTAGCAACCTAGGAGTCATCAAAAACTCAAAAAGAATCAGAGGCACCTGCAGTTTTGTACAAGGAAAAAGCTGTTTTCTGCAAATCAGCACTTGGGAACTACCAGGCTTCATTTAATCTACTTTGAATCTCCCTCTCTTGTATTCTTCACACTTCACATTAATGAGACTCTCATTCTTATGATGGTTAACAATCTTAATTATAGAATAAGAGTCAAATAGACCATCGAACTGCACACAATAGTGTAATTAGATCACTAAACCTAAAAAAGTACAATTGAATCCCTAAACTAATCCATTAGTTCAATTTGCAGATTTTTCATGTTTCTAACATATCACCACAAATTTAAAATATTAAAAAAAAAAAAAAAAACCCCAGGTTCAGCTTCGTTTCTGTCTCCAGTCAGAGACGAAGAATGTATCTTGTTCGCCTTTGATTAGTGTGATAAATTCATGTATATACAGCAACATCCCAATAAAAGCAATCGAAACTTGATTAAATTAATTTTATTTTCTTGAAATACGAATACTAATTTTATTTTACAAGAGGCGTTTACTGGCGACCCGACATTCTTATTGTTAAAAAAAATAAAAAAAAAAATTACATTATATTTTATAGTTGAGGAGTTGAAACTACTAAGTACCAAGGCAGCCCCTGTGGTAGATATGCGTACGAGGAATCTTAAACATTAACCGTCATTGAGATTCTGATTCGGTTGCAGATAATAACCGCCATAACTGAAACCTCCGAATCTTTCATCTCCACCATATCCGAAGGGGCTGCCAAAAAGATACTCAGCTGTACTTTCCCATGGATTCCTGCTGCTTTCTTCATCCCTCACCTCACAATTCCCTTTCTGGTACTTCTCCCAACAAGGCCAGTAACCAAATATACTGTCACATATATCCACACTCTCCAACCCATACCCATAAGGAATACTACCAACCTGGTAATCATACCCATACCCATAACCATTTTCATCATTCTTGGAAGAATTTTCATTACCCTTATTTAGATCCTCAAATTTTCCAGAATCAGTGGGGACTATATCCCTCTCTTTGGCAATCTCTGGTTCAGTTTCCTTGCTGGGTTTTACTACTGGTTGATCATGAATGCCTTTTGGGTCTTTTCCATGGGGAGAATTGGAAGGGATAGATCCATGGGAGAAAGGTTCTGGAAGAAGGGTGTTTGTGGTGGAACGAGGGTAACAGGTTTTACTAGAAGGGGGAAGGGGTTTGCCATAGGTTTCAGCAATATCATAGCCACCATCATAAGGGTCTGGGTCATACTCATCAAAATCAGTGTCATCTTGTGGCTCTAAGGTTGAGTATGAAACTATAAACTTCGTCTCCGAAAACCCATACCCACCATCATCGTACTGAATCACCTTTGGCTCACTGGAACTATACACAGAGTAATTGTAATTGTAATTCACTTCTGGGTGTTTAGCATAGTAGCCAGAATAATCATGGAAATTGGGACAATTATTAACCAGATTTGGGTTGCAGAATTCATAGGAAGGTTGGTGAGTTGCATAAAAGTGATGATATGGTGTAGTGGAGTACTCACCGACAGAATCCTGGTAGCCATAGAAGGCCATTTTCAAGAATCTTTGAAGCTCCCCGGAGATTCTGCAGATCGGATGTGAGGAATCTTGAAATGTATTTCTTTAAGGTGATGGAATTTCAGCCATCTGATTCTTATCAAGAAGTGGAGATCAGAGGAAGAACGAAGGGGAATGGTTTGGGAGGGGTGGGGAAATGTATGGGGATTGAAGAAATTGGATTGTTTTGCTAGCGTACAAAGAAGACAAAAAACATCAAATTATTAGTTTCACTTTTTTTTTTTTCCCCCATTTTTAAAAGTTTTAAAATTCAATGAAGAACACAATAATTATTTGAGATAGTTGATAAATAAATTATTAATGTAAGTTATGTTGTAAGAGGTGTTTGATATTTTTTCGTCAATTAAAATCACTAGAAAAATATTTTTATTGAATATGTTTAATGGAAATAACTTTACATGAAAAAATAAATAATATGTTTGGTGTTATCTTAGAAATATAATAATTAAATTATTTGAAAAATTAATTAACATATTTGATTTGTTTAAACTTCTCTAAGAAAATTTTTATAATCTCTAATATATCATTGCTATAAACAAACATTTAGAAAAATATAACAAATAATCGAGTTTAATAAATTACTTGTAAATTAATAAATCTTATGTCAAAAGATCACCAAGTCATCAAATTAATTAAGTATCCAAAAATTAAATTCAAATTAATCAAGTTATATATGGAGTAGTGCACACACACACACATGCTTAGGATCATGTGCAAAGGAGCTCCTAGTGAAAAATGCAGATAAATATCAGTCATTGATTCATTCAAGATCAACTGCTCTTTAAAAAAAAAAAAATATGACACCTACGATATTGAAAAAATGTGAACTGAAAGGCACAATTGCACAAAGATGTGAAACAATTATTAAAAAGACTAAATTCAATACAGGATCTTCAACACAAATCATAAACAAGCAATACAAGATTCAACTCAAATTAATAATTAGTGATAAATTCATTCAAAATTAACTTATATGCATTGAGTTATTTATTTTTTGAATGATGAGGGAAACTGTACCCGATCTACATATGCATTCATAAATCTCGCTCCTAATTTATTTAATTTATTTATTTTTAACAAATTATACCATGAATCCGGGTTGGACTTTCATTTGAAAGGTTCTGAGTTCGAGCCTCAGTGGAGGCATTATTGGTTCTTTGTATTTCAGTAGGTTGAGAAAGTATATGAACAGATACTACATTGTAATAGAGCTAATAACATTCAAAAAAAAAAATACCATGAACCATGGTTGATATTACAATTATATTTGAAATCACTAATACAAATTTATTTTTAGGGTAGTATATACTATATAATGCATATTTATTTTGAAATTTTAAATAATACACCAAAAATGAACTTGCAACACACTAGTTAGCTTGCATCAAAATATAGTAAACCTACTAAAAGTAAATTGACGGCTTATAATACAGACTCATTGTCTCCACTTATACATTTTAGGCATGAATTGAGATTTAATTGTTTGGCAGGACAAAGCGTGTGTAAGTTATTATTAAGATTTAATTGTGTTTATGAGTGTTTGGTTTCTCAATTACATAGAGGATAGAACTATAGAATTGCCTTTTTGTGCATCCAACTTCCAACTTGTGACTGCCAATTCCATACATGACAACTTCCACATTAATTAACCTTAATTTGCTGCGTGCTGGGAACAGTGTTTGATGTCAATTAAACTACATAACGGTTTTCGTTCAGGCAAACAAGTGACTTTCGCATGGCTACAATATTTTCGAGAAAACTCACACGAAGCAAATACAAGCACGGTTGCAAGGCTCCCAAGCAATGTTGCAAAAATTCCCGACGCCTAGCACTAGGTGCCTACTGGCCACCTAGCGTATCACCATAATCCGTGGTGGTCTAGGCGGCCGACTCACAATGAAATTAGCCAGTTGGTGTTCATCAAAGATGAGAAACAACAGCTTCACTGAACTAATACTACATTAATGGAGAAGCACTTGTGCATCTTTGAAAATACCCCACCCAGTTTAAGGCTGTGCTCATACATTGGCATTTCTAACAAGTAAGGCAGTTCGACTCTTTAACTGAATATCTACCTGCAAGAAATACAGAAGAAGATAAATGGAATGCAAGCGTTGAAGTAACCAAATAGGAGACAGAGGAAAGGAAATTTTCGAAGGAGACACAAATACATAAATGCCTAAACTTAGGTTGGAAAAAGATATATGATACATTGATAACAATGTATGCTTATTTAGTTCTTTCTGTTTTTGTTCTTTTCTTGATAGGGGGGGAGGGGGGAGGCGGGGGTGGGGGTCCTACTGATCGCAAATTTGCAATGTAACTATATAAGAGAATAAGAGGCTATACCAGTATGCTTCTAGGAAGAAGTTTCCTGTCTCTGCCGTTCGAGGGAACCATCTCTTCTTCTAACGTATGATCTACTCTTGTTTTTTGGGGAATTAGACTTCTTTTGGTGGTATGTAGGGTACTGGCTTGGAATTATCTCACCATTGATGTACTTATCCCCTTTAAAAAAATAATACAATACTTAATTTGACAATCAACACAGATCATTCTTGAATCCAGACCAGAGAATAGATAAAAAAAAAATGTTTTTTTTTTTTTAAAGATGAACCTCCATAGTCCTTGTTCTTTACATCTATATAAGAATCCGGTAAGACCCACAAAACCCCAGGTAATCCTACAAAACATGCATAAGCAGATGAATCAATAAACTGTTCTGAACCAGGAAATGGACACCTGGACATTAAACTTTAAGAGTTCAAGAAATAGAGAGAAAATATAAAGCTCCCACCTACCCTTAAACTTTTCTGATGTTTCTTCAGATACTGTGCATTGAAATCCCGTGTAAGTAGTAGTACTAAAAGCATACATGTTCTTCTTTGCTTCTTCCATACTAAAACACAAAACTCAACTCAAATTGGACCAAGAAATGATTGCTAATTAAAGATACAAGAGTAATGCACGAATAACGAATTTGCTCAAACATAGCCATCATCGAACAACAGCATTGCACACCTCAAAAGAGACCATCCACTGATTTTAATTAATAAAGTTAGAAGTTTCTTTCTTTTATCACCTGAGTGTTTCAATTTAGGAGCGCATTACAGCATAAGCCTTTTCCTTGTTTTCTTCCATTAATTGTTAAAGAAAGTTAACTTGCAGTATCCTATCTCGGGTAGGGATTTTCTTAAATAACTTTCTGATTTGGTTATGCACAGTTTGGACTAAAACTTTGCTTCAAGATATAATCTTTACAACAATGTATTGACAGTGCCTCAAAGCATTAGCTAAATCTCACTGGACATGACAAAATCATAAAGCATTCAACCATATACCACTCCACATAACACACCAGGATTTCACCTTCCACTCTCATGCTTAACAACACTTCAATTTAGCAAATTAGACCAACCAAACTAAAAACCAATTGCTAATATTTAAAAGCCATAAAGTCATAAACACTAAGAAATGATAAGAATCAAGCAAAATCAAAGTGTACCTGCCAAGAACAGTGGCGAGAGTATTAAGATAAGTGTCGATCATCTGGTCTCTGGTAGGGGCAGGGTCTTTGGGGAAGTCCATGACTATAAGCCAGTGGTTGTAGTCACAGCCAGGCAGCAAAATAGCTTCTCTTACTTCATTACTGCTTCTCCTAGCTGAGTATTCTTCGTCCCCGACGGCTCTCAACGGGTGAAGTCTTGATGGGCTTTGGTGTGTGAGGGTGCAGCGGAGGAGTGGCGGCGCCGGCGCCGGCGAGGTCGAGGGAAGAGGGTACGACAGAGAAAGCAGCAAAGTTGGGGCTTTAGAAGGGTTATTGGAATGGGATATTTGGGGGTTTAGGGCTTTGAAAAGAGGAGAGAGATTCAGAGCCGCCATTTCTTGTGTGGAGATCGGAGAGGATTTGTATACTTTCAGAGAGAGGAGAAAATGGAAATTGATCAAAGATGTAAAGAGCAATTGAGAAAGTTCATATGATATTTTCCATTTTTCCGCATTTTTTTTTTTAAATAAATCTTCTAGAAGCTACAAAAATGGTTTTTTTTTTTTTTTGGTTGTTGTTGTTGTTTTGAGGAATTACAAAAATGGTTCTTTTGCGTAAATTTGGTATTATTCTCTATTCAAAGATTGAATTCTCAATTTCAATAGCCCCATATTATAGTCGGATAAAATATTTAAGAAGATATAAACACAAAAAATTGAAGATGTAAACACAAAAAAATTATATTTCACTCGGATGAAATGTTTGGCACATACTCTTTCCATTCTCATTTTATGTGTCTAGTTCGATTAACGAGGTTTGATTGAAGTTATTTTTAATTCAATTTTTCATAATATTAAATTTAGTATTAATATACAAAATTTATATATTTAGAAACTACACTAAAAGTACTATTACATCAAATTTAAAAATAAAAAAATAATAATATAATAAAGAAAATAAACAAAGAAAAAAAATTGATTTAACCAATGAATAGTGAATAAGACAGATAAAATAGAATAGAGGGAGTATATAACTCAAGATGTTGACTTTGGTTGATGTTGGAGAACTCGCAAAGAGCCCACTGCATTAGTGATTCTCTTGGGCTCAGGTTAATGTTGAGTACTTGTTCAAGGAATTTTCGCTACAACATTTATTAGCATGTTTTTGAAAATTTTTTGGCTATAACGAGAATTGGGTCTAAATTTCAAGTCACTCTTTATATAAACTCAATTTCTCTCTATAGGAGAAAATTTGAGGCTTTGATACTTTGCGTGTCTGAAGAACTTGGAATTGATGCATCACGAGAGTGAGACAATTCTTTGTTCTAATTTTTATTTATTAATAACGAGAGTGGCTTATAGACTAGGGTTCCTATGCACATATCCCCTCAATCCCTTGGTTGTGTGATTTCTCCTGACCCTTAGGTTGTGTTTTGCATCTAGATGATAATGCTTCATTACTTTTTTTTTTTTTTTTTATTTCATGATTATTTGTTGTTTATATGTGTTTGTTTACCATATTATGAATTCATTAGCTTCTACTGATTTCCTAGTGCTATTGCCTAATTTGTTATTGTCGCATATAAACATATTGTGTGCCATAATCTCCAATCCCTTGGAGATGATATTGTATTATACGGGTGCACACTCACATCACATTTATGCTACATCAATGTTACTGAGCAAATTGTTGGTAAATAATTAATTATCATAATGATGCAATTCAAGTCAAGTTAGATTGCCCTTCAAAAAAAAAAAAAAAAAAAAAAAAAGTCAAGTTAGATTGTATTCCTCGTGGAAGCGATCTATTGAATTCTTTATTTGAATCGGTTAATTATGAGTAAAATAAACTAATTTATCTCTTTATGATTTTTTACTTGTATCACGGATCATTTTCCAAGATGAACACAGGATACATGGTATAGTTGGAATAAGATTCAAATTGGCCACTGAACGTAACCTGAAAATGCAATTAGGCCACTGAACGAAAAAAATGATGCAATTAGGTCACTAAACACTCCAAAAACGTGTAATTAGGCCACTAAACACTCCAAATGTATGCAATTTCATCGGATAGCAGGTTACCTGCTTACGTGGCAGCTGAGTTGACATTTTTAATAAATTTTAATAATAAATTTTAAAAAATTAAAAAATTAAAAAAAAAATAAATAAATAAATAAAATAAAAAGAAACAAATAAAACGACGGGACCCGTCGTTTTTAAAATTTTAATTTTTTTTTTTAAAAAATTATTATTCAAATTTATTAAAAATTATTAGAAATGCCAACTCAAATGCCACGTAAGCAGATTAACTTGCTAAAATTGATGGTAACCTGCTATCAGGTGAAATTGCATACATTTGGAGTGTTCAGTGGCCTAATTGCACTTTTTTTTTTTTTTTTTCGTTCAGTGGTCTAATTGCATTTTCAAGTTACGTTCAGTGGTCAATTTGAACCTTATTCCGATATAGTTTGCAGAAATCTTAGGAAGATGCAAGTTCTAGTTGAATTATAAGCCTAAATCCTTTTTTCAATATTTGGGGAAAAAATAACATAATAAAAATGACTTCAACAATCAACTGTCAAAATATGCCAAACACTATTCAGAAGTGGGTTAATTAAAGCCAAGAAGGCTATTCAACCTGGCCAAGACCAACGTGCATTGCCAGCTAGTCTGCACAAAAAATTGTTTCTCTATGAATATGAATCAAATGACATTTCCAGGTTCTCTTAGCAAGTTGATGAATAGTAGCCTACAAAGGCATTTCAATTAGTTATTGGGTTTAATGGATCACTAAATCACAATGATTTACTAATTCACTATCTTGTCGGATCGAGGTGTGAAACTTTGGAAGCGAGAGAATTTTTTCTTTTGTGGACAAATTCACGAATTGTGGGCAAGTATGGTTTGTTTAATTTCTAAGTACTTCTCTACCATGCCTCCGCCTACCCAAATTAAATGGTAGGTTAATCTCTTCTCCTCTCTGAATGGTGGTTCTTCATCATTAAATAACATTAATGCGGAGTTGAGGAGTCTATTGGGTAGTTGGCAATTGGCATAGCAAATAATTTGTGTTGCATTGTCCTATGTTTGGTCGTAACATTTATGCATTCTCTCCCATTGCACTGCCAAGTGTCTACATGAATAATACTACAATTGCCGCTCAACTGATTATAGGGATGAAGTTTGGAAAAAATAACACTACAATTACTTCATTTTTACTCTTTACCATCCGACATGCTCTAATTAATCCAAAATAATAATAATAATAATAAACCTTCATCTTTTTGAAGGAATAATAATAATTAATGAGCTAAATTTGTAGCAATTACATTATGAACAAAGTAATGTGGAGACGTGGTGGGGATTGTTAATGAGGTCGGCCTAGAAAGCGCCTAGTTGGTAATTAATGGCGGGTGATTAGATTTGAGTTTGGTGATTAGATTTGAGTTTTTTTTTTTTTTTTTTTTTTTTTTTTTTTTTTTTTTTTTTTTTTTTTTGGGTAACTCTCACGTTTGTATTAAAAAAAAAAAGATAGAGACAAAATTCACTACTAAAAGTCAAACATAAGAATCCAGTGGTTAAAATTGAACATTAATATTGATAATCATTCAAATTTCACTCTATTACTAAATATGTAAAATACATTCACCAAAATTCATTCAAATTATCAAGTATTTGATTCCCCTTCCCTGAACCAAACACACTTTCCCTAAGATATGTGACAAAAAGTTTATTTTCATCTCCTAATAAATAAACATATTATACAATGAGACAATAACAAGAAGTCAACAACGGAAAAAGTTTGAAAAGAGCCATACAATAATTTCATACCTAATCAGTAGGTAATATATGTTAGCGACCTTCAATCTTGGTAATCGACATGTCATTAATAGATTGGTTTTCGAGAGTACTCGTTGAAGTTGAGGGTAGAAAACCACTTCCATGTTTGAATATAAAACCCGGTTGATTAGGTTGAGGAAGTTCGGTTTCATTACTTAGCATGAAAATCACTTCTGACATGATTGGTCTATCGTCTGAATATGATTGAACGCATAACAACCCAACATGGATGCATCTCAAAACTTGTCGATCATCATACCACTCTCCTAATGATGGATCAACTATATCAAATGCCCTATTTTCGTTCCAGAAATCCCATACCTGAAAATGCATGTATATATAACCATTATTAGTATATATATATATATATATATATATATATATATATATATATATATTTTGTATAGAGTATCAATTTTTTTTTTTTTTTTTTAAAAAAAAACTAAAGTAGTGTACTTTTAGACTATTGCTTAATATTTTGATTTATATATAGTATATATACTCTCTCTGTCTCATTTATGTGCATGTCAAGTTAGTTACGAGATCAGACTTGGTTGAAAATATTTATAATTTAATTTTTTGGTAATATTTAATTTAGTGTCAATATATAAAATTTATATATTTAGAAATTATATCAAAAGCAATATTAAATACAAAAGGCATAATTTAAAAACCCTAAGAAAATGTTAACGAAAATAACTAAAGAAAGACTAGTTGGGTTTGACATACTAAACATGATAGGTAAAATGAAATGAGCTAGAGGAAGTACTTACATTTGTTATTAAATTCATAGATTTTTCGTTATTTGGATTTTTGTTCTTCTTTCCCGTCACAATCTCCAGCAATAAAACACCAAAACTATAGACATCAGACTTTTCTGAAAAATGGCCTTCCATTGCATATTCCGGTGACATATACCCACTGTAATTAAATCAATGAAATAACATAACATTAAAACATTAGTCATCCATCAGTCTCTTTCTGATAATAAATGCATACACAAGTGAAAGGGCATGACTTACTATGTCCCAACCACTCTATTTGTGCTTGCTTCAATTTGGTCCCCTCCAAAAATTCTAGCCATTCCAAAGTCAGATATCTTCGGGTGCATGGAAGCATCTAACAGAATATTGCCAGCCTTTAAATCTCTGTGAATAATTTTTAATCTAGAATCTTGATGAAGATATAACAATCCTCGAGCAACTCCTAAGATAATTTCAAAGCGCTTCTTCCAATCTAACAATACCGCATTTGTATTATCTGCAGAACCATAAAGTAAAACTCTTTGTAATGAACTAGATCGATGAAATACTATATGTACTCTAAATGGGCTATAATATTATAACTTTTATGGTTGCAAAATTAATTGTAGGTTCATATATATCATGAATGAAGGATGAAGGAATTGTACCAAAGATGAAACTGTCCAAGGCTCTGTTAGGCAAGTATTCATACACCAACATCTTCTCCCCTTCTTGAATGCAATACCCTAAAAGTCTCACAAGATTTCTGTGTTGGAGTCTTGCAATTAGTGTAACTTCATTCTTGAATTCTTCTATGCCTTGCCCTGATGTTCTTGACAGCCTTTTGACAGCCACTAGTTGTCCATCTTGCAACGTGCCCTACAAGCAAGGGCAAATCTCTTTCATTTCAGCGTACTATCCAAACACATGCAGAATATATAATCACAAGAAAGAGATAAAAAAGCAGTGGTCTAGAGTTATTGCCTTGTAAACCGAACCAAATCCGCCTTGACCAAGTTTATTTTCTGCCGAGAAGTTATCAGTGGCAGATTCAATGGTTTTTAGATCAAAGATTGAGAGATCTGATGACCCAGTTTCGTCCACATGTTTCCCCATTTCAGACCCTTCATAGTGGTTTGAGTACTGGTTGTTTCTAGAACTGTTGTTGCGTTGTTGTTGTTGCTGCTTCTTCCCTGCAATTAACATTAACATGCATATGTTAATTGTGGACACCACGATCGAGTCCTATCTGCAGTATACATGGGTGTTATATCCGATGTGCTGAATTCTTATGAAAATCAGACACTAATCTTTCTATTTAATGAGTCGTTCCTAAGTTATACATTGTGATTTATCTCTTTACTGTCTTGATAGGTTGGGGTGTAGAGACTAAGGGCTATGGGCTAGGGAATTTCGTCTTTTTAGACAAAATTAACATAAGTTTTCATGGAATTTAACTAGCTTGGTTGGTGTGAGTGACTGAACACTCTTATTCCTTAAAAAAGATCGGGATTGGACTTAAAATGCCTCATACAGTTAGGACCTGCTCAGGACACCTTAGGGTCGAACAAAAAAAACATGAAATTTCAAGAATTTCTTAAGAATAATTATAGATTTACCTTTTCTCATTTTCACAAGCAAACAGCAGAGAAGAAGAACCACTAGGACTGCAGCAGCAACAGGCACAAGGATGACTATGAGGGTTTTCCCATGAAGCCCTTTTGATTTGTTAAGAACCTCTGAAAAAGAAAGAACAAATATAAAGAATCTGATCTCCTCTAACATTACATTTACTATATATATAGCTTGCTCTTTTAATTTTCTGCATAAATCTGGGGAAAACATACCTAAATCAGACGCAGAGACCCGGATATACATATCTTGGCCACCACTCGCGAACTCCCTCATATCTATCAAGTCACCATGCCAAGTTATGCACCCCGTTCCTCCATCGCTGATATTCGCGCTGGCATATCCAGTGCAAGAACAGTTCTTCAAACAAATCTCTTCACATTCTGCAAGCCCAATCGCCCTGTTCACGCTCGATATATCGGTGTCCGGGATCTTCCGGTTCGTCAGCTTCATGAACCCCTCGCCGTTACGGCACACGTCCGTGTTGTTCCTCCGGCAGCCGTCGGTGCCGTTGCCGACTCTCCATTCCTCGCTAGACCGCGGCTGAAATCCGGGAAGGCAAGTGCACTCAAAAAACCCAGAATTGTAAGGGTTGCAGTTGCTGAAAGCCCCGCAGTGAGCGTAATGGTCGCACACGTCTTTGGGAGCGGAAGTAAACGTCACCCATTTCTTGTCGGCTTCTTGCCATGTAACCAAATCCAGCATCCCGGATTCGTTCACCACCAACATTAGAAACATCGACGGGTCCCGGAGCGTGTGCATCATCGTTACCTCGTCGGAGTTTTCGATGTAGTGGATGTTTGCGACGTAGCTGTTGGACTGTTTCGCCACGCCGCTTAATCCAACTCCGTTCCATGACCCGGCTCGCCACACCGGGGCCCCGGTTTTGTACTGGTACAGAAACACCTCCGGCACGGCCTTCAGTTCCAGCCCGAAACCGTACTGCCCCGTCCCGGGATCATCTAACGACTTCCACGACGTGAGAAACCGGTTCAAACCGGTTTTCTTGTCCACCCCGAGTTTCATTAATGGCAGTCTTGTATTCGTGGGATAATCGAAGCTCTGCCATGTAATAGCCCTTCTATCATGGTACAAAACCAGGTTCCCGGTATCCTGTAGCTGAGCGGAATAAGTTCTTGTCCCCGTGGCCGGAGAAGAAAGACTGGTGTTCCAGACGGAAACATTGGTCTTCTTGTCTTGGATGACAAGGTTTCCGGCGCGGTCGATAAAGAGGACCCCGGATGTACCGTTGACGGGGTTGTCTCTGTTAGCAACCCAAACCACTCTCTGGTTGGGGATGTGTTGGTACCAGATTCCGACGTATCGTTTTCCGACGGAGTTCCCGGGGGTGAAGAAGCCGAGAAAAAAAGATGTCCCGTTAGAGATTAACACATCCCCATCTTTGAGAGGTTGGTTGAAGGTAATGGTGTCCGTGGAACTGCACAAGCATACGAGAAGTGAAAGAAAGAGTAGAGATAAGGTGGTGGTTGCGGTTGTCTGTCTTCCCATATTTCAGTTTGCTGTGCTCGACTGTTTTAAGGAAGACGGAACATGAATACATGATACTTGGGAAGAAAATAGGCCCCGGCCCCCATCTTCTACTGCGCATTAACATATATCCATTTATTGTAAACCAACCCAAATAAATTGAAAAACTTGCTTCGCTAGCAACGGCATGGTAGGGGGTACTAATAAGGATATATATATATATATATATATATATATATATATATATATATATATATATATATATATATATTTTGGTTCCTGTGAGGTCGGGTCTTCCCGTGTAATCAGTGCGGCATACATCATTAGGTATGCGTAAATGCACCCTACAGTGTTCGAAAATACACCAGAATGAAATGGTAAAAAATACACCACACAAAAAAAATACACCACAGATAATGGTGTATTTACGAACACTCTGTGGTGCATTTATGCATACCTAATGGTATATGCCGCACTGACCGCACAAGAAGACCTGATCTCACAGAAACCTGACTATATATATATATATATATATATATATATATATATATATATATATATATGAATTTAATTTTTGTGTGTGTACTAGACTACTAGTTCTTCCCTAAAAGTTGAATCTCCAACCCAAATTTAATTTCATTATGTCTTTATGTGTGCACTAGTGTACAAGTATTTGGATGTTTGTAGGTTAGTTGAAGACAAAGTGGATACAATTTATCTTCTCTACCCGTCTCTAAGATAAGAAGCTTGAGGGGTACCAGTGGATACGATTATCTTCCCGATCTGTTTTTGAGATAAGAAGCTTGAGGAGTACCAATGGATACGATTTATCTTTCCCATCGTCTCTTTCTGAGATAAGAAGTTTGAGGGGTGCCTACTCCGTGGTAAATCGTAATCTCGTGGGCGAGGACATAAAATCGAACCCAAACAATCATACTGTGAAACTTACCCCTAATGTGATGGATCAAACATTAGTTTTCTCACCTAATAAATTATTGAATTATCATAATTTATCTTTATATTATTCTATCGGGACGAAATGTAAGATACCAGGGGAGGTAGCGCAAGGGTAGAAGCTTGAGGCGTACTTTGGAGTTCAAATTTAGTTACTGTATATTGTAAACCAAACATGATGTGATAGGTTAATGTTAATTAAAAACATAAATGTCAGTCTCCGGCCTCTAACATTAAATGTGTGCTCAAATGAAGGGAGAACACTTGCTATGTTCCAACTATTCAATTCGTGTTTGCTCGTTCTGGTCCCCCAAAAACATAAATCATTACAAAATTAAAAAAATAATATTTTTGGATTCATAGAGCTAGGCATCTGACAAGTAATAAGTCCATGTATATATTACAGTATGCATTACGTTATGTCCATGTGATGGGCTGAGTCTCCTCTCTAGTCTCTACAAACTTTGACTAGTTTTAAGGTTTGGGACAAAATGACAAATAAAAAAAGAAAAATACTACTTAGACTCTAAAAATTAAATTAATTTTTAATTTTTATTTTTATTTGTGTTCAAAATTTATTTAGATGAAAAAAAGGATGAGTTAATACCCAAAATCGTCATCGACTATAGTAGTTTTTCTCAATTTTGTCCTAAACGACTTTGGTGACCTAATATCGTCCCAGACTTTTGTGTTTAGCTCAATTTAGTCCTCCATTTGTTATTCCGTCAAATTGGTGTTAAATAAAGGGACAATTCAGTATTGTCAATATTGACCTCTCTTTACTTTCAACTTGTGAAGTGCAAAATTTCTCTTTCTTGTATGAATTACACCCAGAATTACTCCCGGACTTGCAAATCAAATTTTATATTCGCAGTTTTAGGAGTAATTCTGGGAGTAATTCGTAAAAAAAAAAAAAAAGGATTTCGCAGTTCACATGTCTATGAGTAAAGAAATGTCAATATTAAAATTACTGAATTGTCTATTTATTTAACACCAAATGGATAGAATAACAAATGGGAGACTAAATTGAGCAAAAACACAAAAGTCTGGGACTAAATTGAGCGAAACACAAAAGTCTGGGACGATATTAGGTCACCAAAGTTGTTTAGGACGAAATTGAGAAAAACCACTATAGTCGAGGACGATTTTGGATATTAACTTAAAAAAGAATAGATAAAAATTAGAATCCATATTATATTAATTAATCAAAAGATAAATATTTGAAACAATTTTAATTATTTTAGTTAGACTATTGATGTAATAATTACGATGTTACAAATTTAATTTTGCAATCTATTCTATGAATAATTCTATATACATATTAAGATAGTAATCACAGACTCTCTTGTTACTAAAAAAAAATGCACATTTATAAATAAGGATAAGGAAAATGAAATAGATATTCATATTTCTTAGCTAGCCGTCATGTTTGAAGTTCCATGTCTCTTCCTTCCAAAGTTTGAATAATTGAATTGTATTTACAATGACTATAAGAAATGTGAGCGAGGTTTTTCTCTTCCATTGACGCGTAACTTCTTGCCATTTGGTGATTTGGAACAGCTGCTACTGTGCTAGGTTGTAGTGGCAGAGTTCATAGGTTTTCTTGAGTTTGCTGGAGACATGTCTCTGGGAATGTATATGTTCTTTGGTTGGGCAGCACTGTTGCTGTTAGGTTTCTGCCTGTTATTTCAAGCCACTTGCATCGGCGCCAGGTCAGACACCCTCTCACAAGGTCAATCTCTTTCTCCCTTACAGAGTTTAATCTCCCCAGGAGGAAAATTCGAATTGGGATTCTTCCATCCAGTTGATTCCAGTAATGCCTATGTAGGTATATGGTATAAAACTATACCAGTTAAAACAGTAGTTTGGGTTTTAAATAGGGATAACCCAATCCCTAAATCCAGTAGCAATGCAACACTAATGCTTTCCGGTGCCAATCTACAGCTTTTTAATGATGCCAGAGAAATAATCTGGTCTACAGATGTATCCTCAACAGTATCGAATACTACCCAGGCAATGCTTCTTGACACTGGAAACTTTGTTGTGAAGAATGATGTGTTTACATATTGGCAGAGCTTTGATTATCCAACAGATACTTGGCTGCCCGGCATGAAATTTGGGTTTGATGAGACAAGTGGCAAGAACATAACACTTTCTTCTTGGAGGAGCAATAATCAACCTGAAGCAGGATTGTTCTCATTGCAAATGGATCCAAGTGGGAATGGTGAATTTTTCATCAGGAAGAATAGCTCACAAACATTCTGGAGGAGTGGGCCTTGGGATGGGGAGGGTTTCCCCTCCATTACTAGGGGGTTAGGTTCCAATACATTAAACTTAAGTTATGATGGTAAATATCTTCTGTATAGTATTGGCAATGACTCCATTATATCTAGAATTGTGATGACTACCCCAGGGGCACTGCAACTCCTAGTCTGGAATGAGAGTACTGAAAACTGGAAAGTTTTCTTGTCAATACCTTCTGACATATGTGAGCGGTTAGGTTTTTGTGGGGATTATGGAATATGTGACATTTCTATGAGCCCAGTTTGCCAATGCTTATTTGGTTTTGTACCAAAATCTCCTAACTATTGGGAACGAGGCGACCTCTCTGGAGGGTGTGTGAGGAAAAGTCCACTGCACTGTAACAGCAATGAAGGCGGTGAAGTTGTATTCCTTAAGTTTAGTAATGTAAAATGGCCTTCATCTTCTCAACCTTTGGAACTTGGAACAATCAAGATCTGTGAGATTTTATGCTTATACAATTGCACATGCAATGCTTTTGCATATACTAGTAATGGGCGATGCTTATTTTGGAATGAACTTTTAGATCTGGAACAATTGGGAAATAATTCTACTGGAGAAGACTTGTATCTTAAGTATCCTAGAAGTGTTCTTCTTCCAACAGGCACGAGTGTTCTTCCTCCAACAGGCTAGCCTTTCTCTTTATTAATATTAATATATTTGCATTGCTTTCTTTCAACTGAATAAATTTCTCTCTTTTTTTGTGTAGGACATAAAAGATTACCAGTCACAGCTATAGCAGCAACTGCAGCATCCATTGCCTCGGCAATCTTTGTTTGTTGTACATGTTTGTGTTACTTCTGGAGAAGAAACCTCAAACGAAAAGGTAAAATTGGCTTTCTAGGCAACCATATCACCTTTGTGTTTCATGATCAGCATACATTGCATTTTCTCTGCATGTCCTTTGTTGCCAACGGTATATTCTGCAGTTGATAGCCTCTGCTTGCATCTACAGGCGTGAAGGAAACAACTCAAACTCAAAATCAAAATCTCTTGCTGTTTGATTTAAATGGTGATGTTGCTGCACCTAATGCTAGTAGCACTCTCAAAGATAGTAATGGAATGGACAAATATAAGAACTATGAACTTCCAATGTTCAGCTTTCCAAGTGTAGCTTTAGCCACCGACAATTTTGCTATTGCCAATAAGTTGGGAGAGGGAGGTTTTGGGCCTGTATACAAGGTAATAATATAATGCCTCTTTTGAACCATATGTTCTTTTAGGAACTCTCTATTCCTATTCTATTCTGTTCTATTTTGGTCTGAAGTTCGATTGCTAAAAGGTTTGGGAGAGTTACATTCAACCATACAGTGTGTGAGTTCTCATTGCTAAAAATGCAGAAAATTCTTATTAGTCCTTTGTTTTTTGCAGGGGAAATTACTCAATGGCCAGTTAGTTGCAATAAAAAGGCTTTCGAAAAGGTCGGGACAAGGGTTGAAAGAGTTCAGAACTGAAACAGAACTAATTGCCAAACTCCAACATAGGAATCTTGTAAGGATTCTGGGGTGCTGCATTGAGCTGGAGGAAATGATACTGATCTACGAGTACATGCCTAACAAAAGCCTGGACTCTTTCCTATTTGGTTTGTTCTCGAACAGTTAACCTTGTTCTGCTATGACTTTTTTTTTTTTTTTTAATGTTACTAATGTTTTCTGTCTGGATGAACTGCTGAACTCCATGCCAGTGCCTACGAATCAAGATCAATTGGATTGGGCAAAGCGTGTCCACATCATTGAAGGCATAGCTCAAGGGCTTCTTTATCTTCATCAGTACTCAAGACTTCGAATTGTTCATAGAGACCTTAAAGCTAGTAACATTTTATTGGATGGAGAAATGAATCCTAAAATATCTGACTTTGGGTTGGCAAGAATTTTCGGGGGAAATGAGCTGCAAGCAAATACTGACCGCATTGTTGGGACATAGTATGTGCATTCTTGAAAAAATCTAGCTTTTATTTGTAGCAAGAACTCTTCAGTAATATAATAAAACTCTTTCTATTGTCAAATGCAGCGGTTATATGTCCCCAGAATATGCCATGGAAGGGCTTTTCTCAGTAAAGTCCGATGTATTTGCCTTTGGAGTTCTGCTACTGGAGATCATAAGCGGGAAGAAGAATACTGGCTTTTATGGCGCAGACTGTCTTAGTCTTCTGGGACATGTTAGTTTCCAATTTTTCCTCAAGCCTGTATGGTTCTCAATAATTTTCTCTTGATAACTTGGCTGTTTTTGGTTTCAGGCATGGGAGCTATGGACGAACGACAAAGTACTCGAGCTTCTAGATCCAGTACTGCAAGTGCATGGTTCTTCAGTCCAGACAGATATATTGCGATAGGCCTCTTATGTGTACAAGAACGCCCTGCAGATAGACCCGCTATGTCTGAGGTTGTTGCCATGTTGAGTAATGACCAAGTGACTTTAGCATCACCAAAACAGCCCGCTTTCACTGCTGGGAGGACTGTTGTGTTTAATGCAGCGGGTGAAGTTCAAATCTGCTCTGCAAATAAGTTGACAATTTCTGTCATGGCGCCCCGCTGATGCAGGTCGAGTTCTGTAGCTAATGGCAGACAGATCAAAAGGATGAAGCTTACATGTATATTTTCATATAGTGTACCCGATTTACAATTACAAGAATAGTGTGTATCAGAACAAGTATGAAAGAACAGTCTAAGTACTATTTAACGACCATCGATTTCAGTCATTGTCATGCTATTAACAGATTGGCTTTTGCCAGTGATTGAAGAGGAGGGTCCAGCAGATTGATCTTGTCTTAATAGAATAAATCCGGGTTGAGTAGGACGAGGGAGTCTTGTTTCATTACATAGCATGAATACCACTTCTGACATGGTTGGTCTGACATTTGCCGATGCTTGGACACACAACAGCCCGACATGGATGCACCTCGAAACTTTTCGACTATCATATGACTCCCCTAGTGATGGATCAACTATGTTCAATGCCATTCCTTCACTCCAGAAATCCCACACCTGGAGATACATGTATGATTAACATGAGTATTTATGATGTTTTGTCAACATAGGACTACAATTTCTATGTTTAGGTTGAGGATGCACTTACATCTCCTATTAAATTCAGAGAGGTTTGTCTGTATGGGTTTTTGTTCTTCCTTCCGCTCACGATCTCCAACAATAAAACACCGAAACTGAAGACATCAGACTTCACCGAGAAGTGGCCTTCCATTGCGTATTCTGGTGACATATAACCACTGTAACCAAACAATGAAAACATAAAAGTCAATCTCCAAACATTAAACGCATGGTCGAAGGAAGGGACATGATGCAATGCTTACTATGTTCCAACTACTCTATTCGTGTTTGCTTCGTTCTGGTCCCCTCCAAGAATTTTAGCCATTCCAAAATCTGATATTTTCGGATTCATGGAGGCATCTAACAAAACGTTGCTGGCTTTCAGATCCCTGTGAATGATTCTTAGTCTAGAATCCCGATGAAGATATAATAACCCTCGAGCAATTCCCAAGATGATCTCAAACCGCTTTGTCCAATCTAAAGACTTCCCATTTGTATGATCTGTAGAACCATAATGTACAGTTCATCATAACTGGTGAGAACTTGAATGATTAGTGAATGACAAAGGTGTATATATCTACCATAGATGAAGTTGTCCAGAGCTTTGTTGGGCATGTATTCATACACCAGCATCTTCTCTCCTTGTTCAACACAACATCCTAAAAGCCTCACAAGATTTCTGTGTTGGAGCCTTGCAATTAGTGTAACTTCATTCTTGAATTCCTCTATCCCTTGCCCTGATGTTCTTGACAGCCTTTTGACAGCCACTAGTTGTTCATTGGGCAGCTTACCCTGCAAACACATGCAAACCTCAACTTTCAGCTTGGTATATAATCATGAATGGAAAAGGAAAAAAAAAAAAAAACTAGTGATGATGAGAAGATTATTGCCTTGTAAACAGAACCGAATCCGCCCTGGCCGAGTTTGTTATCAGCAGAGAAGTTATCAGTGGCAAATTGAATGGTTCTTAGATCAAAGATTGACACATCTGTGGATCCAGTTTCATCTACAAATACCCCCATTGAAGACCCTTCATAGGATTCTGAATATGTGTTCAGGTCCCTAGTATTCATTTGTTTTCTCTTACCTGCAGTGATCATTAACAGATATGAATCTCTCAGTAAGAGAAAGAAAAAACATCATCCTAAAGAATTTACAGAGAACAGCTGCAGTTGTGTCTTACGTTTTCTCAATTTGATAATCAAGCAACAGACCAGAAGAGCCACTGCTGCTGCAATAGCTACAACCAAAATGATTTCGACAATTTTGGAAATATGCCTTTTTGATTTCTTCTTAAGTCGAGCTGAAAAAGAAGAATTGAAACAAAAACAGTTCATATGAGAAACAATAATTCTTCTGCAACAAATTGTGGGCAAGAAGAAAGATGAAAGATACCTAAATCAGATGCAGAGACTCGAAGGAACATTTCTTGGCCGCCATTACTGACATCCCTCATATCTTTCAACTCACCATACCAAACAAAACACCCCATTCCTCCATCACTAACATTCGCGCCGGCGAATCCATTGCAGGAACAGTTGTTTAGACAAAGATTCTGACATTCTTTTAGCCCAATCGTCCTGTTCACCACCGCTGTTTGAGTGTCCGGGATCTTCACCCCCGTCATCTTCAAGAACCCCTCGCCGTTCCGGCAAACATCCGTCTCGTTATTCCTCCCGCACCCTTTCCATTCTTGTTCCGACAGCGGCTGAAATCCGGCGAGGCACGAGCACTCAAACACCCCCGACGAGCTGTCGGGGTTGCAGTTACTGAAAGCGTCGCAGCGGCCATAGGAATCGCACTGGTCTTGCGGCGCCGACCATGAACTGACCCATCCTTTATTGTCTCCTCCCCATGTGACCAAATTCACCGTCCCGGATTCATTCAACACGAGCATGGAAGGCACCGACGGGTCCCGGAGAGAATACGTAAGAGTGACTTCGTCTTCATTTTCTGCGCACCTGAAATTGACGCCGTCTTGGGCCGTTTCCGGCACGCCGCTAAACCCAACTCCGTTCCACGGCCCGGATCTCCATATCTGGCCCCAACTCCTTTTCAGGTACACCTGAGCCGCCCCGGCCCCGCTGGCCAGCTCCAAAACATACTGACCCATAGACGGATCATCCGACGACTTCCACGACTGAAGAATCCGGTTCAGGCCGGTTTTCTTGTCCTCCCCAAGTTTCATGGAAGGCAGTAACGTATTCGTCGGATAATCGAAGCTCTGCCATTTACTCTCCCTTCTATCCTGGTCATAATACAGAACCAGATTCCCGGTGTCCAGTAGCCGAGCAGAATAAGCTGCTTTTGTTCCCGTCGCCGGAGAAGTCTGGTTGGTTTCCGAGACAGAAATATTGGTACTCTTGTCCTGGATGACAAGATTCCCGGAGTCATCGATGAAGAGGATTCCGGATTCGCCGGTGACGGGGAGGTCTCTGTTAGCAACCCAAACAACTGTCTTTCCCGGGATTTGCTGATACCAAATCCCGACGTATCGGTTACTTCCCGGAGAATTTTCCGGGGAGAAGAAACCAAGCGCAAAAGATTTCGAGTTAGAGATTAACAAATCCCCATCTTTGAGAGGTTGGTTGAAGGTAATGGTGTCTCTGGAACAGCAAAAGCATACTAGAAATGAAAGAAGTATTGCCGATAATAAGATTTTTGTTGTGAGCATTCTTGTTTGTCTTCCCAGATTTTCAGTTTACTGTCGGCGATCTATAACTTCAAGTCTTCAACGAAGCACGGCACATGCAGAAATAAGTGATGCTAGAAGCTCAATTAGCTTAGATTGTTGAAAATTTTCTTACTTTTTTGGATATGTAAAATATAATTATTGCAACAAACAATGACACAATACATGATTAATGATTTTACAAAATTAATTTAATACCTTGTCTTGGATGGGATACTAGGGCCTGAATGGCGGCAAATTATTGTGAAGAGCGTGACACAGTTGTATGGACCGCAGTCTAAAATGATGTCGTTGAATTTTAAGTTACAATATTGTACGTTATGAATTAGAAGTATTTTATGTGTTAGAATAATGTACAGGATGTGTTTGAATAATAAATGTACTTTATGATCAGTTAGAATAATGTACATTATGAGTTATATGTATATATTTTTTGTTTTAATTGAATGACTGTTTCCACTTTCCACCCTTTGAATTTGCTCATTATTTGTTTGCATATAAACACGTGAAGTCGTAATAGTAATTGAGTGTTGGCCTGGTAATGTTGATGAAAGGTTACATAGAGAGAAAACGTCAACATTGAGACACATACTATTTCATACTACTTATCTTTAAAAAAAAAAAAAAACTATTTCATACTACTAACTAAACTAAACTAAACTACGATTAACATTCTTAGCCCGCATGGGTAGCTCAACTGGTCATAGAGGTGAAATTTTGGAAGAATGACCAGGGATCGAGTCTCACCAGCGATAACGTGGAAGCAACCTCTCAAAGTGAGGGGGGCTCTTTGTGCGCAGTGAGCACCGTCTAGCCTCTATGGTTCATGTTCCCCAAATGCTCTGTCGGGCTGGGGTGTGGGGGGTACCCTTAGGGTTGGGGTTTAGCCTTTTTGGAAGAACGATTAGCATTCTTAATTAGAATTGATAGATATGAATAATCTATGCTAGTTTATCTTCTTGTGGTCATTCGTTCAGTAGTTATTGTATGGACTATAGTTTACACAACTATGTGTAGTGGACCATGGTCAAAAAACGACGCCGTTTTATTTTATTTTATTTTTTCGCGCAACCAGCTACAACACATACATTTTTAGAATTTATAATGTACATTATTCTAAAAGATTAAAACATAATGTACATTATATTACCCCAGAAGTTTCATTATTCTAACACGTAATGTACATTATTTTAACACATAATATACATTATTCTAACTCATAATATTTAACGACGTCGTTTTGAAATGTGATCCACACAGCTGTGTAGACCACGATCCACATAATAATTTGCCTCATTTGCAGGTTAAGGTTGCTAGATGGGTTTCATCAAGAACACGTCTTCAAGTAGCAACTGCATACTTTTCCGTAAATCAAATAATTATACTAACATTTTAAGTTTTGCTATTAGATTTCCATACAATTTATCTATATATATATATAAGGAAAATGGCTTTTTTCATATATGTATTTATACAAAATAGTGATTTTAGCACCATAAATTTGGCTTGTTCAGGGTCCCCTTTTTGAGCGGTGCAAAATGCCCAAGAGCATAGGGCTTCAATTTTTAGAGAGTAATATTTATTTTTGGGTAAATTATGTCGTGGAATCGTGTCCACCTTGCAAGGTGGACATGGTTCCAAAACTGTTAATAATTATGAATATATAGTTCAAAAATTATAAATATATAGCTCTATAATTATGAACATAGAGTTGTGAACATAATTATGAACATATAGTTCTGTAATTATGAATATAGAGAATCAATAATTGTGAATATGAAGTTCAAAAATTATGAATATATAGCTTTATAATTATGAACATATAGTTCATTAATTATGAACATAGAGTTCTGTAATTGTGAATATAGAGTTCAATAATTATGAATATGAAATTCAAAAATTATGAATATATAGCTTTATAATTATGAACATATAGTCCAGTAATTATGAACATAAAATCATGTCCACCTTGCAAGGTGGACATGGTTCCACAACATAACAATTGTTATTTTTTATTTTTTATTTTTATCTAATTACATGAGAAAAAAAGAAGAAGCAATTAATCATGAGATTCATTAGTTTTTTCTCCAAATCAATTCTCTCTCCTAATTAATTGAGCATGCCGCAGAATAAAACTGTTATGTTTCTCCAACGGCACAGATGATGTCTTATGCTTTGAATCTGCAGATATAACTTGAAACTTGTAACATTCACCAGTTTACCATCAATACCGCCTGAGAAATTGATTCTTCCAACTAATAGATTGTTCTACTTGCATTCCAAATTATAGAAGCAACCCAACATGTAGTCACTAGTTAGGTAGTTTCAAGCTGTTTTAAAAAAAAAAAATTCTGTTTGTTTGGACTTTGGAGATAGTAGGTTAGTAGAATTCTTATGGTTTGATTTTAAAGATTGCGGTTATACTTTTAGTATGACCTTATTTATTTACAAAAACATAGCTACAAAAATTCAAAATAGACGGCTAGCTTGTTGATGTAAATATTATGTTATTGAGTTTTTAGCACCCTACATTTTTATTTTATTTTTTTGAAGAAATTTAGCAACCTACATTTTGATCATATAAAGAAAACACATTCAACAAAGTAGTTTAGATTTCTCCTCTTTGAATTTCACTAGAAAATTCAATAAACAATATTTGAAAATCTCATGTATAAATGTGCAGACGATAATAAGCTAGCGCTATTTCCGGTAACCATACTTATCACAGCCCATCAAAAATTGAATTTTCATACCAATGTGCAAAGAAAAAAAGTGCCTTGATTAAATTCCCCAAAATCATCATTGGATAATAGATCAATATTTTTCCCCAAGTGGAAAGTAAACTAGACCTGAGCAATCATTTTCATTGTTCATATTGACTGCTTCATCGGTCGTCTTTATCCACCATTTTGGTGGTTGGACTGGACTGAAAATTCTGAGTGCAAGTGGATGAATGATTTGGAGCATTAATTACATTGCATTTAAAATTTTCATTTTTTGCCCACAATCTACCTCAAGCCGAAATTTCCTCGCTCTCAGGGCCCTACACTCCGATTCAACAGAATAATGGATGATAAATCACAGTGAATGAAAGGACCATTGTCTAGCGTCCATAGGCAGCTCACCACATTGGGTGTAACTCGCACACGACAATCAATCCTTATACCATGGACCAAGGCTCACAGTACACTGTGGACTCTGGTGCATGTGTATGTGTCTTATGTTGTACTTGAAACAAATTAGTAATTGTATCTTATGTTATAAATTTCTGTGTCTTGTGTTGTAAAAATATGTCTATGAACACAAATTATATATGTACCTAAATCATATTTGAAAAATAAGTAAATATATAACATGCATATGTGTCTTGTGTTGTACGTGATTTTTTGTATCTTATTTTATGAAATTTTGTATCTTTCAAGTATAAACTTTGTACCTCATTGTTTCGATAAAAAATCTATAATGCTATGTGGACTCTGGTCCATGATATAAATTGCAGCTGTTAGGGCTCTCCTTTCTGGCTATTTGAGTAGTTGTAGACTACCAATCAACCATGCACGCCCATTACAATTCAACTCGGGGCTCCAGCTGCACCCACCTCTGCATTAATGTTATTAGTTTATGTTCATTCAATTCACCTACACATTCAAATCCCTTAATTTCTCCAAACTTCTTAGCCGTAGATGTGTGCAGACTTTAATTTGCCGACTAGCTGCTGTCTGGGCAGATAGGCAATGACAAGGACAAGTTTCTTGAGCATCATGATTGTGGGGTTATATTTTTTATGCTTGAGAAATGACTTACTTTTTCTGATCTTTTGGTTATGACTATTAATTCAGAAAAAAAAAAAAAAAAGTGGATCACATTTTTTTTTTTAGAGCTTTCAATGAAATCACGATGAATGTTGAGAATAGAGCACAACAACATTTTCCATATGATTGTGTCGTATACTAGGAGATGATAGGTGTTGAACATAGTGGAATGGAGCAACAACACTAATCTTTAGGATTTGAACATGAATTGAATTCATAGAGTGGGTCAGATCAGGTGCGGGGGCTAAGGTGGGCAATTCGGTTCAGGGTTTGGTTTGATAATATACCGAAGAATCGAATAGTAATGAATTCTTTTATATCGAACGGTTTGATAAAAAATTGAATCAAACTAAATACCGTTTGATTTTTTTTTTTAAAATAATTATAATTATAATTATAATAAAAAAGTAAATCTAAATCTGTTGCTGCCTGCTCCACCGTTCAACTCCTATTTTCACTGGTATCTCTATTAAACTTTTTATTTAATTTCTTTATGGCTTGTTTTCTACTTATTCAGTATTTTTCTTAGTTTCATGTTTCTAAGAAATTGATGTGCATCAACATCATTCTAATTTTGATTTTCAGTGTGTGCACTGGAAAATAATATTCCAGTGCACTGGAATTATTTTCTAGTACTGGAATATATTTCCAGTGCACTGTAAATATATTTTGCCAAGCAATACCAGATTATGTCAAAAAATTAACTATATCGTATTTGACACTTGTTATCTAAATATTAACTATACAGATATCTGAATCTTCATCTTGTCAACAAAACATTTCAAGCGAGCCAATTGAAGAGTCGGTTGTGCAAAAAAACCAACTGATATTTGGTAATTAGTACTTAGTAGTGTGCTTGAACTTTGAATTGCTATTTTGTTATATAATATTTAGACTTTGGATTTGAACTATGTGAATATGTATTGTTTGGTAGTGTGTTTGGAATATTAGAAAATGTTAAAAATTGAGGTTCTTAAACCGAACCAAACCAAACTTTTTCAAACCAAATCAAAACCGAACCAAACTATAATGTTAAACCGAATGATATCATTTTTTTTTTAATACCGAAATATCAAAACCGAAAAGAACCGAACCGAATTCCGAAACGTCCACCCCTATCCAAAGTAGTGCCCCATCAATACAATACAATGATAATTTTGTAAATATATTGTAAGAGCTACTTATAAACCTGATACTTTTACCCTTGAATGTATTATCATTCAATTAATAAAAAAACACCTATTCTCTAGAGGTAAATAAATTGTCAAACAACATAAATTTTGTTCGATCCTCTTTATTATTGGTTTCTTGGTCTCACTTTTCTCCATAGATTATAAGTTTATTGACATAATTTTTTTTGAGTTATTTCTCATTTCTACAATTCTACTTTTCTATATTGTCTTGCACTCCAACATATGCCCCTTCCCCCCCCCCCCCCCCCCCCCCTTCCCCTCTCCTTCCTTTAATTTTTGTTTCAAGTAACAAGGACATTTAACAATTTACTACTGTTTACTTGGGAAAATGGTTGAATGGATTCCCAATTGTATACAACTCCAATATCTTTTAGTTTTCTTTTAATTTAAAAAACAAAACTAAAGTGAGAAGGACATATCAAGAATTTAATGCAATTTATGAAAATAGTTGAATTGATTTTCAATTGAGTAATACTAGACAATAACATATTTTTCTCCTCAAATCAATTCATTATGATGTAAGGTTATTTAATTGGTAACTAATTTTTTTAAAAAAAATTGTGGTGGTGTTAATCAATTCATGAGGATGCAATGAATGAAAGCTATATTAAAGGAAAAATTTAGAAAAGGAAGAACGCATTTTTCTTTTCATCAATTACCATACGTCTTTGTCACTTTTTACTTGAAAAGACATAATTAGAGACCTGCATTGCACGATTTCTTCCATTTTATTTGCTATCATTTAGACTCTATAGACATGTGAAAAAGACCGAATTGAAAGATAAAACATATATTGAGAAATGGGGAAACCTAATACTCTTGATATACATACTATATAATATATGATTATAATAAAGCTTATAGCATCCATAATTCCGTTTGGATCTACCTAAGTGTGTGCGATAGCGTGTTAATTACACATGAGATATAAATTATAGTAAGAAAATTTTGTGCTACGCGTTCGATTGAAGTGATATTGACAAGATCAAAGTTGTAACTCAGTATAACAATCATGTTTCACCCACCTGGTTAGCCTTTTGATTTTGTAGTTATTGATTGTTATAGAAGTCTCCTTTTGTAGGCTATTATTAAAAATATTTATTATTGAATTAAGTAGTCTACAAGCAATCCAATAGAGATGTTAATTACCAAACAATTCACATGAAAGCTCATCTATATTCATTATTAAAGTTAAACAAACAAACATAATGCTCAATACTCAAATTAACTGAGCAGAACTTGTACACTTATTATAGTACATTCTATGTATAGGTAAAAGACATGACAACATTAAGACATAATCCCGAACACCCCAATATTCGAAAATCTACTCTAGGTGTAGCCTACCTTGTAACCCTAGTAGGCAAAAGATATCAAACCATCTTATGTTATCCATAACTGACTGATTGAAATCAAGAAACCTAATAAATAGCTCCTACCGGCAATTAAACCAGGTGACAATCACATTATTCCAAACAATAAGACACAAGCCGGGTGAGTATTAACGACCGCCCATTGCAGTAAATGACATGCTATTAATAGATTGATTTCCATCAGTTGTAGAATATGAGAATGGAGTAGTAAAACTCCCTTGATTGAATATAAATCCTGGTGCTTTAGGATGAGGGAGTTTTGTGTCATTACTTAGCATGAAAATCACTTCCGACATGGTTGGCCTGTCATCTGGATACGGTTGAACACACAACAGCCCGACATGGATACACCTCAAAATTTCTTGACCATCATACGACTCCCCTAATGCTGGATCCACTATTTCCATTGATCTTTCTTCACTCCACAAATCCCATACCTGCAAATGTGTAACAAACATAAATATTTTCAATGTTTTTGGAAACAATAATGTATGTTAATTAATAAAGATATTGTATAGTACTTATAGAGATGCACTTACATCTCCTATTAAATTCAAAGAGTTTTCGTTGCGCGTGTATTTGTTCTTCTTCCCACTCACAATTTCCAACATCAAAACACCGAAGCTGAAGACATCAGATTTTATTGAGAAGATACCCTCCATTGCATATTCCGGTGACATATAACCACTGTGAAAGAAATTGATGAAACAATATTAAATGTTTTAGACATAAAAGTTAGTTGTTTGAAATATTCACTCACAAGTGAAAGGGAATTGAAACAGTATATATATATATATATATATATATATATATATATATATATATATGCTTACTATGTCCCAACTACTCGATTTGTGTTTGCTTCAACTTGTTGCTCTTCAAAAATTCTAGCCATTCCAAAATCTGATATTTTTGATTGCATAGCAGCATCTAACAAAATATTACTGGCCTTTAAATCTCTGTGGATAATTCTTAACCTAGAATCTTGATGAAGATACACTAGCCCTTCAGCAATTCCCGAGATAATTTCAAATCGCTTTCTCCAATCCAAAGACATCCCTTGTGCATTATCTGCAAAACCATTAAATATTATAGTATACTTCATCTAACTATAGGCTTTTTTCCTGTAACGGTTGCAAATTTTTCCATAAATCAAAATATTGTATAGCCTTAGCTAGTGTATATTTACCGAAAATGAAACTGTCAAGGCTTTTGTTTGGCAAGTACTCATACACTAACATCTTCTCCCCTTGTTGAATGCAACATCCTAAAAGTCTGACCAGATTTCTGTGTTGGAGTTTTGCTATTAGCCTTACTTCATTCTTGAATTCTACAATCCCTTGGAGTGAAGTTCTTGTGAGTCTTTTAACAGCTACTAGCTCTCCATTTTGCAACTTACCCTGAAAGCACATGCAAATTAAAGCTCACTAATTCTGCATAATTATATTAATTAATTTGCTGCAGCAAATTAAAATAAATAATGCTGTGAAAGTTGTTACCTTGTAAACAATACCAAATCCACCTTCTCCGAGTTTATTATCAGCAGAGAAGTTATTAGTGGCAGCTCTAATAGTGTTTAGATCAAATATTAAAACATCTGATGATGCCGATCCATCTTCATCATCCACATATTTCCCCATTGCCGCAGGCCCTTCATAGGTTTCTAAACTCGTACTGCTTACTGCTTTCTTATTACCTACATTAGAAGACATCCCTTTTCGATCAAACGAGGAATATTTCACAAAATTTAAAGAAATCCATGCTGGCCGGCCTGAAGCTCTCCGGCCATTAGGATAATACCTTTTCTCCCTTTCAATAATAGTGTCAGATAAAGGAGCAGTAGAATCACTGCAGCGGCAACCGGCACAATAACCACTGTAACTATGAGCCATTTCCCATGAAAACCTTTAGATTTCTTTACATGTTGAGCTGAAAAGGAAAAAGTAAAACTGTTGAGTTTGTCTGGATGGAATATGAGTTTGTCTTATACTATTATGAGTGAAATAAGGTTGGAGTGAAACAGGTAAACCCTTTGTATCCCTGTGTAACCACTATCACCATTACTATGAATATTACTATGAATAAGAGTATTGTTTCAGGTTATGATTTCTGAACACATTTTTTTCAGAGATGGAAATGAAGATATACCTAAATCAGACGCAGAAACTCGAACATAGATATCTTGGCCGCCATCTGTGAACTCCCGCATATCTATCAAGTCACCATACCAAGTTACGCATCCCGTTCCGCCGTCGCTGATATTGGCGCTGGCAAACGCCGTGCACGAACAGTTGCTGAGACAAAGCTCCCGGCATTCTTGAAGCCCTATGGTGGTGTTCACCGCCGCCATTTCTGTGTCCGGGATCTTCATGTGCTCCAATTTCAAGAACCCCTCACCGTTACGGCACACCTCTGCCTGGCTTCTCCAGCACCCTTGGCTCCAATTCTGGTTCGAATTAGGCTTGAACCCAGAAACGCATCTGCAGGAAAATCCCGCTTTGTCGCAAATGCCGAAAGGGCCACAGTGACCGTAGTGGTCACAATCGTCGTTGGGATAGTACCAAACGCCGTCCCATTTCTTCATCTCGCCGTTTCCTTTCCATATGAGCTTGTTCACCGTCCCGGAGTCGTTTAACATCACTACTGTATACACCGACAACGGGTCCCGAATCCAGTATTCCTCCGAGAACTCCTCGTCGTTTTCGGTGAAGGCGTAAGGGGTGATTTCTGGGGTCATTTGCGGCACGCCGCTCCATCTAATGCCATTCCATGGCCCCAGTCTCCACACCGGCGACGAAGAATTCTTGTACAGGAACGCCTGAGGTTTTCCGGTGAGATCTATCCCGACGCTATACTCGCCGCTGCCTGGATCATCCGGCGACTTCCACGACCTCAGGAACCAGTTTAAACTTTTATTCTTGCCCACCCCCAGTTTCATGGACGCCAGTATTGTATTCGTGGGATAGTCAAAGCTCTGCCATTTATCAACCCGTCTCTCCCGGTCATGATACAGAATCAGATTCCCAGTATCCTTTAACTGAGCGGAATAATCTCTTGTACCGGTGGGCTCAAAAGAAAGACTTGTGTTCCAGACAGAGTTACCGGTTTTCTTGTCTTGGATGACGAGATTTCCGGTTCTGTCGATGAAGAGGATTCCGGATGTGCCATTGACGGGGTTGTCTCTGTTGGCGACCCAAACGACCACCTTTTCTGTTATTTTTAGGTACCAAAGTCCGACGTATCGCTTGCCGGTGGAGTTCCCGGGGGTGAAGAAACCGATAGCGTAAGAAGTGTCATTAGAGATTAATAAATCCCCGTCTTTGAGAGGTTGGTTGAAGGTAATGGTGTCTCTGGAACTGCATAAACATAGTAGAAAGGAAAGAAACAGTACCAAAGAGATGTTCGTTCTGAACACGCAGGTTTTTCTTCCCATGTTTTCTGTTTACTGCAGTCTACAATATTATTGAAGATAATAAATTAAAGCATAGACAAGAAGATGATGTGGCGCTGGAGGCCTAATTTTAAGAGTACAGTTCTATACTGTGGACTCCCAATCTCTATTCCAATCATTTTTATTCCAGCAATGATAAGTTTATCTATGTGAGTCTCAAGAAAGATCTTTATATCAAAAATTAGTGTGAGAGTAAAAAGCAGGAGTAGATTTTGGGAGTCCAAATAGTATTTTTCATTTTAATATGTTTTGCTGCATGCAACACAGTAAATGCACAATATGACTTTTTCATGGTTACGGTTGCGATAAGGCCACACAATTGGTGGCTAAGGGATTGTTGGATGGAGGTCGGTAAAGGATCAAGTCTAGTACTTTATGTCTCTATCTTTTGAAAATGTGGCAGTTCTTATATTAAAAAATAAAGATGTTATATTTTCTCTATTAGCTATAACTTTTGACTTAATGGTAAGATCTAACAAGTGGTATCGTCACAGGTTAAAGATCAAGATAAGGTTAGCATCCTAACAGTTACTGTTTTCGCCCTTTGCATTTGCTCATCTGTCATAATATACCATATTGAATGGATTGTTGAGCGAAGGCGTGAAAGGCCAAATACAACATTTTGTCCCTCAAATTTGACATTGATTGTTATGTAAGTATAAAAAAAAATAAAATTGTGACGTTAATTGTTAAGCAAGTATATAAAAATAAAATTGCACTTCTTATCATTTTTGACATAATGCATGATAAGTGTTTAATCTTGCAATTAGTATTAAAACAGTAGCTGTTGGACGGAGTCTTGGAAGGCTAAGTCCAACATCTAGATGTTTCCTCCTCTCAATTAAATCTGTCTATTTCGGAGGTTGGGGGTGACAATGAATACCTTCATTAGTTTATGCGCAAGTTGCGGCATTGATTACATTGGATGAATTTGCAGATGAAATTGGGCATTTAGTACCCCCTTTCAACCGGAATGACTGATCAGGATCAATCATATGGTCCTGTATAGCTGTCCCTGCTGTCTCCTTCAAGTCCACTATTGTCTGCAAAATATCTTGAGGATGAAGACTTGGTAGGGGTTTGGTTGATAGATATTATTGTGTTTATTATTATTGGTAAATGAAACAAACTCATTCAAGTTAAGCAAGTTGATGAGAAAACTTCCATATATAACTAACATCATGCATGCTTATCCTAAGCTATATATACTTTTTTGGATGACAAGGAAATTAAAACAATAAAACCCATAGCGATTTCTATTGGGTAAATTCAAATGCTATGTAATATATCCTAAACTATATTATATTAATATACATGTTTGGAGTTCAAACTTATATTAACGCGCATGTTGCTATTTAACGACCAACAAGTTCAGTAATTGACATAGTATTACTTGATTGATTAGCACCATCACTTGTAGAATATGATAATGGAGCTGCATTATTCCTCTGATTTAATACAAATCCTGGTCGATTAGGACGTGAGAGTTCTGCATCATTACTTAACATGAAAATCACTTCTGACATGGTTGGTCTGTCATTTGAATGTAGTTGAACGCACAACAGACCGACATGGATGCACCTCAAAACTTCTTGATCATCATACGACTCCCCTAATGATGCATCGACAATTTCTAGTGCTCTTTCTTCATTCCAGAAATCCCATACCTGAAAGTTTGTAACAAACATGCATTCATTAATGTTTTCTTCATTCTTTGGTTAGAATATTGCCTGTGTGTGTAAGGGAAGTGCATAGCACCACAAAGATGCACTTACATCTCCTATTAAATTCAACGAGGTTTCCTTGTACTTGTGTTTGTTCTTCTTTCCGCTCACAATTTCCAACAATAAAACACCAAAGCTATACACATCAGACTTTACTGAAAAGTTACCTCCCATTGCATATTCAGGCGACATATAGCCACTGCAATTAATTGACAAAACAACATTTCATGTTATAGCCCGGCATAAAAGTTAGTTATTGGTACACATATAAGTGAATTGAAGGGGGAATGCAACACTTACTATGTTCCAACTACTCGATTTGTATTTGCTTCGACTTGTTCTTCTTCAAAAAGTCTAGCCATTCCGAAATCTGATATTTTCGGGTTCATGGAGTCATCTAACAAAACATTACTAGCCTTCAAATCTCTATGAACGATTCGTAGTCTAGAATCTTGATGAAGATATAACAACCCTTGAGCAATTCCTAAAATAATTTCAAAACGCTTTTTCCACTCTAACAACCTCCCTTGTCTATTATCTGTAGAACCATTAAGTAAATATTGTCATGTAGGGTAATATTATTATAGAACTTCAATCGTTAATTAATTATAGAACGGTGAGGTTATATATATACCGAAGATGAAACTGTCCAGGGCTTTGTTAGGTAAATATTCATAAACCAACATCTTCTCCCCTTGTTGAATGCAACATCCTAAAAGCCTCACAAGATTTCTGTGTTGAAGTTTGGCAATTAGCTTCACTTCATTTTTGAATTCTTCTATCCCTTGCTGAGATGTTCTTGAGAGTGTTTTGATAGCTACAAATTGTCCATTTTGCAACATACCCTGCAATTAGAACTAACAAAGATCAGTTGGTTCGGATGGTAGATTGTGGGTAAAAACATAACGGGCAAAGATGAATCAGCTCAATTAGCATCAGTAAGTAATGCTAGATTGAAAGTTATAGTGTTACCTTGTAAACAGAACCAAATCCGCCTTCTCCAAGTTTATTGTCTGCAGAAAAGTTATTAGTGGCAGCTCTAATAGTGTTTAAATCAAAGGCTAACACATCTGCATGTCTAGCTTCTTCCATATATTTCTCCAATTGTAAACTGGTATTACTACTTGGTGGTGTTTTACCTACAATAATAAACGTTACGTTAAAAGACATCTATTTTCTAATGAATTTACCCTAAAATTTCAAGAAATTCATGTATAGGGCTTTCCGCTAGAGTTATACCTTTTCTGATATTGGTAGAGATCAAACAATAGAGCACAAGAATCACAGCAGCAATGGGCTGAATCACGGAGACTATGAGCCTTTTCCCATGATGGTCTTTAGATTTCTTTACAAGTTGACCTGAAAGTAGAGAACTTTGTTTTAAAAGAGTAATGATCTAGCAATAGTGTACAAGTATTTTGTCGAATTGGGTTTATGACACTTAATATGCAATTACAATCAACTAGACACTAATCTTAGGAAATTCACCAAAAGCTTAAGTAATTTATTACACATTGGGAATAAAATTAAACATGAAATAAAAGAAAGGAATAACAGTCAAATAGGCAGGGTCTTAATTGTAATTTTTTTTTTTTGTTTTTAAAGTTTTGTGACCATTGTTGTTTAGTGTGTTGTGAGGTGACATATTTGACCTTTATTCCTAAAAAGAATAAGACATAGGGAGCATATCCAGTGGCGGAGCCACATTTAAAGTGCAGGGGCCTTGGCCCCCCTCCCCCCCCCCCCCCCCCCAACCATTTTTTTTATTGGTATTGTAGTTTTTTTTTTTGGCCCCCCTCATTAAATATTTGTTATTTTGCCCCCTCCAAGCAAGCTTTTAGGGTAATTTAGTGGATTGCTAATTTGCTATATAGTTAGTTTTTTAATTTGCAAATGAAATACATTGCAATTGTGTTTATTATAATTTATAATAATAAATTGTCATTTTGCTACCAAAATCTTTAAATTTCTACTACTTTAATATTTGTCTTTTTTAATTTGCAAATGAAATACATTGCAATTGTGTTTATTATAATAATAAATTGCCATTTTGCTACCAAAATCTTTAAATTTCTACTACTTTAATTTTTATCTTTTTTAATTTGCAAATGAAATACATTACAATTGTGTTTATTATAATAATAAATTGTCATTTTGGTATCAAAATCTTTAAATTTTTACTACTTTAAATTGATCTTTTCTTTAAAAGAAAGAATTCTAAAAATTCAACATCAGTAAATTCATTTACAGGTATTGAGCCATTGAATTTTGGAAGACGTTCCAAATTTTATTAGATTTGTAATATAATTATGTATTTTGAAATATGTTAAATAAATATTTATATGTTTTATTATTCCCTCTCAGATTGTGATTTGCTCCAGCACCAACCAATCCTGACTCCGCCCCTGAGCATATCATCATGCATATATAACAGTCTAATAATCACTATTATCTTAATCAATGAAACAAGAATTAAAACAAAGAATTGTCACTCTAACAACCGCACACAAAGCATCAATAACCAGAAAGTGTAATAAACTGAGTAACATATACCTAAATCAGATGCAGAGACTCGAACATAGATATCTTGGCCTCCACTTGTGAAATCCCTCATATCTATCAACTCTCCATACCAAGCAATGCATCCCATTCCGCCATCGCTGATATTCGCGCTTGCATATGCCGTGCAAGAACAGTTATTCAAACACAGCTCCTCACATTCCTTCAACCCAATGGCTCTGTTCACTTCCGCCATTTGAGTGTCAGGGATCTTCATGTCCTCCAACTTCAAGAACCCCTCACCGTTACGGCACACCTCTGTCTGGTTTCTCCAGCACCCTTGACTCCATTCCTGGTTCGACGACTTAGGCTTGAACCCAGAAACGCATCTGCAGGAAAATCTCGCTTTCTCGCAAATGCCGAAAGTGCCACAGTGACCGTAGTGGTCACAATCGTCGTTGGGGTAGTACCAAACGCCGTCCCATTTCTTCTTATTGCCGTTTCCTTTCCATATGATCTTGTTCACCGTCCCGGAGTCGTTTAACATCACTATTGTATACACCGACGACGGGTCCCGAATCCAGTATTCCTCCGAGAACTCGTCGTCGTTTTCGGTGAACGTGTAAGGGGTTATTTCTGGGGTCATTTGTGGCACGCCGCTCCATCTAATGCCATTCCATGGCCCGATTCTCCACACCCGGGACGAAGAATTCTTGTACAGGAACGCCTGAGGTTTTCCGGTGAGATCTATCCCGAGGGTATACTCGCCGCTGCCCGGATCATCCGGCGACTTCCACGACCTCAGAAACCAGTTTAAACTTTTATTCTTGCCCACCCCCAGTTTCATGGACGCCAGTAATGTATTCGTGGGATGATCAAAGCTTTGCCATTTATCAACCCGTCTCTCCCGGTCATGATACAGAACCAGATTCCCAGTATTCTTTAACTGAGCGGAATAATCTCCTGTCCCGGTGGGCTCAAAAGAAAGACTTGTGTTCCAGACAGAATTACCGGTTTTCTTGTCTTGGATGACGAGATTTCCGGTTGTGTCGATGAAGAGGATTCCGGATGTGCCATTGACGGGGTTGTCTCTGTTGGCGACCCAAACGACCACCTTTTCTGGTATTTTTTGGTACCAAAGTCCGACGTATCGCTTGCCGGTGGAGTTCCCGGGGGTGAAGAAACCGATAGCGTAAGAAGTGTCATTAGAGATTAATAAATCCCCGTCTTTGAGAGGTTGGTTGAAGGTAATGGTGTCTGTGGAACTGCATAAACATAAACATAGTAGAAAGGAAAGTAACACTACCAAAGAGATGTTTGTTCTGAACACGCAGGATTTTCTTCCCATGTTTTCAGTTTACTGCTGTCTACAGTATTATTGAAGATAAAGCATAGACAAGAAGATGATATGGCGCTGGATGCCTAATTTTAATAGAGTTCTATATATGCTGTGGACTCCCAATCTATATTCCATCACTTTTACTCTCAGCAATGATATGTTATCCTTATTATCTGAGTGACTAAGTCTTAAGAAAGATGTTTAATTACATAAAAAATTTGTGTGAGAGAGTCAAATGTGGTTGTAGATTTTGACAGTCGAAATAGTATTTTCCATTTTAATTAATTAATATGTTTTGCTGCAACATAGGATGTTGGAATATGGACTACATCGGAGAAGCAGAGATGGAGCAGAATGAAGAAAAAGAAGATTGATTGTTATTCTGATAAAGTGTGTGTATTACAGAGAAGACAAAAGACTATATATGAAGCGGTTAAAGCATAAGAGGATTAGACAAAAATAGCACTATGCTATTTTTATCTTCCAACACCCCCCTGGTAAGCTGGAACGTGTAGATCCTACATGCCCAGCTTAAATACAAAAGGTAGTGAGGACTGCTACTGTAAACATATAGCGAAGCAAAACAGAGCTTTTAGTGTAGAAACATCTCCAGATTGAGAGACAAGCAGTAAAAAAAAATATATAGCAACTCTTCCACCTACTTCATGGCAACTCTTCATCCTTCTTGAAATTTGATGCTAGCCAATTGTATAGAATTTCTCTCTGAAACAATACATGTATACTGATTGTGGAGCAGGTCAAATTTGTTTCCAGCATGTTGAGCAGCAAATTCTTTCTCTTCATGGATCATCTTAAACCAATTGTCGAAAAAACCATTAAGATGAATGACCTTCTCTGAAAAGGTTCGACTTTGATTATCCAATTTAGTGAGTTTCATAGCCAGAAAATTGACAAAATCACGAAGGTTCTTTACTTCCTGAAGTGCCATTTCTAATCTGTCAGCAACATCTTTGTTGCTAGATATAAGTTCACACTTCTCTTTCTCTAAATTCTGTGAAATGTTGCTCAAATTTCTCAACTCATCTCCTTTCAGTCTTGATTCAAGATTCAACTCTTCCAATTTAGACTTCAAAGTCTCCACGATCACCGCACCAAGATCAAATACGAGGATGTTTTTCTCACCACCTTTCTTGTCCAGTCCATAGGTAATGGCAGCGGCAGCTGGTTCATTAATAATTCTTGCAACATTAAGTCCAGCAATAATACCAGCATCCTTGGTAGCTTGCCTTTGAGCATCATTGAAGTATGCAGGCACAGTAACAACAGCATCCTTAATTTTCTTCCCAAGGAATGCTTCAGCTGTCTCCTTCATCTTTGTTAGAATCATGGCACTGATTTCCTCAGGGCTGAAGACTTTAACTTCCCCATCTCTGATTTTGACTTGTATATAAGGCTTGCCATCCTTGTTAATAATCTTGTAAGGAACAAGCTTCATATCCCTCTGGACTTCCTTATCCTCAAACTTTCTTCCAATAAGCCTCTTAACATCAAAGACAGTCCTTTCATGGTTGACAGCTGCCTGGTTCTTTGCAGCCTCACCAATCAATCTTTCTGTGTCAGTGAATGCCACCCATGATGGTGTAATACGATTTCCTTGATCATTTGCTATGATTTCAACATGACCATTCTTGTAAACACCAACACAGGAGTAAGTTGTTCCAAGATCAATTCCAATAACAGTTCCTAATTTTGTTGCCTCCTCCTTTGCGATAGAAACTGCAGATAGACATCCAATGAAGACGATCGCTATCACGACGAGCGAACCACCTCGCCTCCAATAGCCTCCCACGACCACGTTCACCGCACCTTTTTTAGTGTCCAACCCAGCATTCCTGGGATTCAGGCTCACTAATGCATTTTTACAAACAGTTGGTGTATCTAGCAATTGTTCACTAATCTCAACACAATCAGCATGTCTAACCCCCTCAATAGCCTTACAAAAAGACGTAGATGCTAGATTAGAAGGATTACCAGATTCTGGCTTAGACACCTCCTCACCAAACGCTCTATTTTCAGCTAACTTCGATTCAGCGGCAGATTCTATTTCCGCCTCTGTGTCTCCGCGATGCTGATCGCTAGTTGGAGTCGTCTCTCTGCTGAAACTGCAATGGAAATAATAATTTGAATTGTCGGTTACGAAATCCTCTTCCTGCAGATCCAAAGATCTCCAGATCTCATTCGCAACCTCTCTTGACTTGCGATGTGCGGCGCTTGAGCTCTTCGACGTTGACGGAGCACGATCAGACGTCGCAGAGACAGCCAGAGACATTGAATTTTCCGAGAAATTCACGTCGATTTCATTGTTCGGCTTCCTAGCTTTACCGGACAACGAAAACCTCTCAACGCTAAAAATCGCCTTCCGCTACGTATCGGCTACGGGCATCTGCTGCTCCGAACTCAGATTCCCCTGCGAAATCATTGACGATGCTGATCTAACTGGTGATCGAGCACCGGCATCGTTACTACGCATCCTCTGCGGATGGATTGGAATCATCCTCTGCGGATGGATCAGAATCATCCTCTGCGGATTAACTAGGATTGCACAGGGACTATTCAGGTGTCGGCGTCGCTTCGCTTCATCGACTTCTCCGGCACCGGAAAATGCAGCAGCGTGGATGAGCTCCCGCCGCTCTGATACCATGTTGGAATATGGACTACATCGGAGAAGCAGAGATGGAGCAGAATGAAGAAAAAGAAGATTGATTGTTATTCTGATAAAGTGTGTGTATTACAGAGAAGACAAAAGACTATATATGAAGCGGTTAAAGCATAAGAGGATTAGACAAAAATAGCCCTATGCTATTTTTATCTTCCAACATAGGACATGCACAATATGACTTTTTCATGGTTAATTCCAACAATTAGTGGCTAAGGGATTGTTGAGAGCGGAGGTTAGTGAAGGGCTAAGTCCAGCACTCTATTTTTTGAAAATGTAGCAGTAGGCATATAAAGAAATAAAGATGTGTCTTCGCTATTAGTTATAACTTTTTTGACTTAATGGTAAGATGTAGCAAGTGGTATCGTCACAAGTTCAAGAGCAAGTTAAGGTTAGCATCCTAAGTGTTACTGTTTTCACCCTTTGCATTTGCTCATCTGTCATAATATATACCATACATATATTAGATTAATAGTAGTATGAGTTAAGTACATGAACCAAAGAGGAAAAAGGGACTGAGACACAGTCCAGATAGTTAGACTTGTTCAAGGCTTTTCTAGCTAACATATGGGCGATATGATCTTGTTCGCGGACCATTTGACAAACGCAAAACTGAAATTACAAAAGTCTCTAGCTATATCCTTAATGTCATTGATGATCAAATCAATAGATGTTATCAAACTGTGGTTCTGGATGCTATTGATCACCTTTAGGTAGTCACTTTCAACTTGCACCAAGTCTAGCCTCAATTCCTTTAGCCATTTCAACGCTTCACGAACGCCTATTGCTTCTGCCTCGTCTGGTCTGAATGGATTGTTGGGCGAAGACGTGAAGAGCCAAAAACAACATTTTGTCTTTAAAATTTGGTCCTAATTGTTATGTAAGTATTGGAAACTAAAATTGTGACGTTAATTGTTAAGCAAGTATATAAAAATAAAATTGCACTTCTTACAATTTTTGACATAATGATAAGTGTTTGATCTTCTTGAATTTAGTATTATAATAATAGTTGTTGGACGTAGTCTTGGAAGGCCAAGTCCAACATCCCGATGTTTCCTCCTCTCAAGTCTCAGATCTGTCTATTTCGGAGGTTGGGGGTACGGTGAGAATGAATATATTGATTAGTTTATGCGCAAGTTGCAGCATTGATTACATTAGATGAATTTGCAGATGATCGAAGTTGGCCATTTACTACATAGATAATATTGTCTGCAAAATATCTTGAGGATGAAGACTTGGGCTCTGTTTGGCAACGCTAAGCTAGGAGCTTATAGCTTATTTTAAGCTACTAATAAGCTATAAGCTCTGTTTGGTAATGTTCCCAAAACAAGCTCCTAGCTTAAAATAAGAGCTTATTTTGGAACGCTACTTTAGGTAGCGTTTCAAAATAAGCTCCTAACTTCCTAACTTTTTTTCCATCTTTACCCTTATTATTTTAAAGTAATGACATGTTTTAACCTTATGAATTAAAACCCTTTCTCTTCCCCTATCCCAACTTTCACGTCAATCCCTTCCTTAGTCTTGTTTCCTGCTAAACAATTATGTTGAAACTTTAGCTTATTATTATTATTATTATTATTATTATTATTATTATTATTATTATTATTATTATTATTATTATTATTATTATTATTGTTGTTGTTGTTGTTGTTGTTGTTGTTGTTGCTATTGTTGTTGTTGTTGTTATTATTATTATTATTATTATTATTATTATTATTATTATTATTATTATTATTATTATTATTATTATTATTATTATTAATGTTATTTTAAAATTAGCAATATGGCTTCAATCTCAAATTGAACAAGAGCCATCAACGAAAATTTAAGTCACACCTCTAATATCTCAAATTCAAAGTAGTAATACCTCCATCAAAGAAAATTTAAGTCACACCTCTATGGAGATGAAGGAGATTCGCAACAATATTGCTACTTCATTATGGGATGCTAGATCATGATCATGCTAATAGTTTTATTTTAAAAAGTGTTTACTTTTTTTGGAAGACGAAATGTTAAATTTTAATATGTAAACAAATTAATTTAAATTTTATAAAGATGTCCTTTTTAGTCTTTTTACATTTATCAGCTTATCAAAAAGCTAATTTTACCAAACACTTTCAATCATAACAGCTAGCTTAACAACTCTTCAATTTTCAGCTCCGAGCTTATAGCTTTTCAACTTTCAGCTCCTTTTCAGCTATCAGCTCCTAGCTTATAGCTTTTCAGCTAGGTTTGCCAAACAGAGCCTTGGTAGGGGTTTGATTGATAGATATTATTGTGTTTATTATTATTGGTAAATGAAACAAACTCATTCAAGTTAAGCAAGTTGATGTTAGGAAAGAACACGAACTTAATGGATAAAACATTTTTATTTTTTTGACAAGAGAAACTATCGTCAAAACTCAAGATTTTACGGCAAACAAGAACAACAGCTACGGGCCGTGGTCCATCCTTCTCGTCTAATCGCAACGAGAAGCAGCAAGTCAGCAGCGACGAACCTTCCCTCCGGCGAGCTTGAGTTTCTCCGGCGAAGCTTGGTCAGAGTTAATGAAGAAGAAGGCGTGAAAAGACCAAAATGCCCAGGGCAAATCGGAGCTCTCGCCGGAGTCTTGACGGAATACGGCCATAGGGACTAAATTGACGAAAAACAATTATTTTCGGGGACTAAATCAATGAATACGCGATTGAGGGGCAACATTGACAAATCGCAAATAACTGAGGGACCAAATCGTTGATTCAGCCTTAATTTTATAAGTTTGGATTATTTATAGTACCCCTTACCATTAAATTCAATTATATTACTTGTAACTTGTAAGTTCTAAAAAAATTTCTTTTTTACTAATTCATCACTTGAATTGATCTTTTCCTTTGTTCATTTACTAATTCATCACTTGAATAAATACATTTGTCCCTCTCACCATTACACATTGTTTATCAAATAAATTTACAATCATGTATGTAATTAAAGTTTTCAGTATGCTAAATATATTTGCAATATGATTCATACATAATGATGCGTATAATAATACTAAAATAATTACTTATTTTCATAGATTATACTAAGTTAATATGGTATTTACGTATCTAATAATGAGAAATATAACACATTAAAGTCACAGAATTATATCAACATCCACAATTAATATTAACATTATTTTCAAATGTCTAAATAAATAAAATAAAATAATAGAAATATAATGGAACTATTCTTTAAAAAAAAAAATCTTTTACAAAAAGATATTTAGTGTTGGATTATAATTCCCATTATATTTTACAATGATAATATCATTACAAGATAGGCTTTACATAAATTACAAATTAAAAGAAGTTGATGAGAAAACTTCAATATATAACTAACATCATGCATGCTTATCCTAAGATATATATATTTTTTGGAAGACAAGGAAATTAAAACTCATAGCAACTTCTATTGGCTAAATTCAATAACTATGTAATATATCCTAAGCTATATTAATATACACGTTTGAATTTCAAACTTATATTAACATGCATGTTGCTATTTAACGACCAACGAGTTCAGTAATTGACATACTACTACTTGATTGATTTCCACCATCACTTATAGAATATGATAATGGAGCTGCATTATTCCCTTGATTTAATACAAATCCTGGTCGATTTGGACGTGAGAGTTCTATACCATTACTTAACATGAAAATCACTTCTGACATGGTTGGTCTGTCATTTGGATATAGTTGAACGCACAATAAACCTACATGGATGCACCTCAAAACTTCTTGATCATCATACGACTCCCCTAATAATGGATCGACAATTTCCAGAGCTCTTTCTTCATTCCAGAAATCCCATACCTGAAAGTGTGTAACAAACATGCATTCATTAATGTTTTCTTCACTCTTTGGTTAGAATACTGTCTCTGTGTGTGTAAGGGAAGTGTATAGTTGCACAGAGATACACTTACATCTCCTATTAAATTCAATGAGGTTTCCTTGTACTTGTGTTTGTTCTTCTTTCCGCTCACAATTTCCAACAGCAAAACACCGAAACTATACACATCAGACTTTACTAAAAAGTTACCTCCCATTGCATATTCAGGCGACATATAGCCACTGCAATTAATTGACAAAACAACATTTCATGTTATAGCCCGGCATAAAAGTTAGTTATTGGTACACATATAAGTGAATTGAAGGGCGAATGCAACACTTACTATGTTCCAACTACTCGATTTGTGTTTGCTTCCGCTTGTTCTTCTTCAAAAAGTCTAGCCATTCCAAAATCTGATATTTTCGAGTTCATGGAGTCATCTAACAAAACATTACTGGCTTTCAAATCTCTATGAACGATTCGTAGTCTAGAATCTTGATGAAGATATAACAACCCTTGAGCAATTCCTAAAATAATTTCAAAGCGCTTTTTCCACTCTAACAACACCCCTTGTCTATTATCTGCAGAACCGTACCATTAAGTAAATATTGTCATGTAGGGTAATATTATTATAGAACTTCAATCATTAATTAATTATAGAACGGTGAGGTTATATATATACCGAAGATGAAACTGTCCAGGGCTTTGTTAGGCAAATATTCATAAACCAACATCTTCTCCTGTTGTTGAATGCAACATCCTAAAAGCCTCACAAGATTTCTGTGTTGAAGTTTGGCAATTAGCTTCACTTCATTTTTGAATTCTTCTATCCCTTGTTGAGATGTTCTTGAGAGTGTTTTGATAGCTACAAATTGTCCATTTTGCAACATACCCTGCAATTAGAACTGACAAAGCTCAGTTGGTTTGGGTGGGTAGATTGTGGGTGGGTAAGAACGGGCAAAGCAGGATAAGCTCAATTCACAGTAAGTAATGCTATATTCGATGAAAGTTATAGTGTTACCTTGTAAACAGAACCAAATCCGCCTTCTCCAAGTTTGTTATCTGCGGAGAAGTTATTAGTGGCAGCTCTAATGGTGTTTAGATCAAAGGCTAATACATCTGCATGGCCAGCTTCTTCCATATATTTCTCCAATTGTAAACTGGATGGCCGAAGGCGGTGGCCAGGCGGTGACGGAGCAGACGTGGGGCGTTGTGGGCCGTTTTCTGACGAACAAAATCATTAAGGCAGAGTATATGCGGCAAGTCATGGCATCCGTTTGGCAACCGGTACGAGGGGTTCAGGTTTCGGAAATTCAACCGAATCTGTTCCTCTTTGTTTTTTATCATGAGACGGATGTGGAGTATGTGCTGGAAGAGGGGCCGTGGTCGTTTAACAATCATTCGTTAGTTTGCAAGAGGGTTCCGGATGGTGTGATGCCGATTGATGTTGTGCTGGATACGATTGATCTCTGGGTACAAGTGCATGATTTACCGATGGGATACACGGGGATCCCGATTCTTGAGCAGGTTGGGAATTTTATTGGAACTTTTGTCAAACTGGACGAGAGGTTTATTGGGGAGCCTTGGATCACGTATTATCGTATTCGGGTGTCTATACCGGTTGATAAACCGATTAAGAGAAGGATGAAATTGCTGAAGAGGGATAGGACAACATGTTGGGTTAACTTCAGGTATGAGAGGCTGCACACTTTCTGTTTCTGTTGTGGTATGCTGGGTCACTCCTATAAGTTTTGTATAAAGGCTCGGGAAGCAAGAATACCGGTGGAACAGTATCCGTACTCTGCGGAACTACGAGTGGGAGGAAACCGAGGGCCACGGGAGATAGGGGACCCTTGGTTGGTTCCTCTCGGTGGAAAGCCGAAGGACTTTCCGATGCATGGGAATCCGAGCCGCCGACCGGTGGTACGGAGTAGCCCGGTTGAGGAGGCCGAGAGGTCCGAGACCGAAGAGGTAGTGGTGGCAGTGGCCAAGCGCCGCCGTGAGAATGGAGGGGATGGTACAGATGTGACGATGGTGGATGGCTCAAAAAACTTGTTTACGGCGGGTTCTGGATCACAGACCCGCCCAACCCAATGAGTACGCTGAGTTGGAACTGCCGTGGCTTGGGTAATCCACGGACAGTTCGAGAGGTGGTGGACATGGTGTCCAAAAAGCAACCCGACTTTGTATTTCTAATAGAAACTAAGGTAGCGCGAGATCATGCTGAGCGTCTTCGTGTTACGATTGGTTTCGAAGGCTTATTTTATGTTGACAATGATGGTTTGAGTGGTGGATTAGCGTTATTGTGGAAGAAGAATAATACGGCGAGACTCCTTAGTTACTCAAGAAACTACGTTGATATTGAGGTAACTATGACAGGTCATCCGGCCTGGAGAATGACGTGTTACTATGGTTATTCGGACCGTAATAGGCGTGCTGAATCATGGGATTTGTTGAGAATGTTGGCGGCAAAATCGAATCTCCCGTGGGTGGTGGTGGGGGATTTTAATGATTTGCTATACCAGTATGAGAAGAGAGGGGGAAATCCACATCCGAATAGCCTTCTTCGAGGTTTTGGGGAGACGATTGAGGATTGTGGATTGGCCCAGTTGCCAATGATTGGATACCCATATACCTGGGAGAAGGGGAAAGGGACTGCAAACTGGATTGAGGAGAGACTTGATAAGGTCCTAGTAACGAACGAGTGGCGCAATATAATTCCCCATGTAAAGGTTATGAATTTGAGAACCAGGAAGTCAGATCATTCAGCCATTTTTTTCACAGTTCAGGAGGAGGTAGGGAGGGATGGGGTTAGAAGAAGGGGTTTTAGGTTTGAGATGGCATGGTTATATGATGAGGGATGTAGGGGTGTGGTGGAGCAGGCGTGGCAGGAAGGGAGAGGGCAGGGTTTACAGGGTTGTGTTCAATACTGTGGAAACCGGTTAACACGATGGGGTGGGGATCGGTTCCATAAGTATGGGAAACAGATTGTGCAGCTGAAACGGGATCAACAACGTTTGAGAGGATGCACTGACTCGGCCTCTCTTGTCGAGTTTCAGCGAATAGAGCAACTTCTGAGTCGCACTGAGGCCCAGGAGGATGCATACTGGAGGCAGAGGGCCAAGCAGCACTGGCTCAAGGAAGCTGACGCCAATACCAAATTCTTTCACAGGTATGCCTCTCACCGAAAGAAAAAGAATACTTTACTTAGATTAATGAATGACAATGGGGATTGGTTGGAGGGGGATCCCATGAGAGATATCATTCTGGACTATTTTAAGAATATTTTCAGCTCTGGGGGTCCGGGAACTGGAGATGATTTTTTTGGGAGGATAGAACCCAGGGTATCACAGGCGCAGAATGACTCACTATTACGGCCATTTAATCTGGAGGAAGTAAAGGATGCATTGTTTGCAATGTATCCGGATAAAGCACCAGGACCGGATGGAATGAATCCGGGTTTTTATCAGCATTTCTGGGATGTGGTAGGAGGGGATGTTGCGAGTTTTGTGCTAAACTGTCTTGAATCAGGTGACCTCTCGTCTGGCTTGAATGAGACAGATATTGTGTTGATCCCTAAAAAGAGTAATCCAGAGTTAGTAACTGATTTGCGCCCTATAGCACTTAGCAATGTCATTTACAGAATAATAGCTAAAATGATGGCTAATAGAATGAAGCCTTTGATGGAAGGAATAATATCTGAGACACAGAGTGCTTTTATCCCAGATAGATTGATAACAGATAATATTCTATTAGCTGCAGAAGTGGGGCACTTTCTGAATCGAAAACAGTGTGGATTGAGGGGCTGGGGTGCACTTAAGCTGGATATGGCTAAGGCGTATGATCGAATGGAGTGGCCTTTTCTCCGTAATATGATGATGGCATTGGGTTTCCATGATAGATGGGTTGATTTGATTATGAAATGTGTGACCACAGTCTCCTATAGTATTCTGATAAATGGCTCAAGGAGTGACCCAATAATACCCACGCGTGGTTTGAGACAGGGAGACCCGCTATCCCCATATTTGTTTATTATCTGTGCAGAGGGACTCTCGTTGTTACTACAACAGGCTAACAGAGCGGGATTAATTCATGGATGTAGGGTAGCAAGAGGTGCCCCTCAGATTTCTCATTTGTTTTTTGCGGACGATAGCCTTTTATTCTTTAAGGCTAATGTGGAAGAGGCTAATGAGATAAAGAAATGCCTGACTGTATATTAGGATCTATCGGGACAGGTGGTTAACTACCACAAGTTGAGTATTTGTTATAGCAGGAATACGAGTAATGTGGATAGGGAAAGTGTGGCCCAAGTTTTGGGGGTGGAGCAGGCACCAAACTTTGGCAAGTATTTGGGTCTACCTTCGTTTGTGGGTAGGAATAAAAAGGCAGCTTTTGCATATATTGAGGATAAAATACGCCAAAGAATTGGGTCGTGGAATAAAAGGCTATTGTCTCAGGCAGGGAAAGAAATACTGTTGAAAAGTGTGGCACAATCTATGCCTACCTTCTCAATGAGTGTTTTTTTGCTACCTATATCAGTATGCACGGCTATAGAAAGAACGATGAATAGATATTGGTGGGGTTCTGGGACGGACAACCGAGTTCACTGGAAGGCTTGGGACAAGCTATGTGTTCCTAAGAAGTATGGTGGATTGGGTTTTAAGGACCTACGTGCATTTAATCTAGCTATGTTGGGGAAACAGGCATGGCGAATGCTCACTAAGCCTGATTCCTTAGTAGCTCGTGTTTACAAAAGCCGATATTTTCCCAGGGATACTTTCTTTGATGCGCAGGTAGGAAATAATCCCAGTTTTTGTTGGCGGAGTATAATGGCATCAAAGAGCATAATTTGTAGTGGGGTCAGACGAAGAATTGGGAATGGGGAAACTACATCTATATGGACCCATCCATGGTTACTGGATGACCAGGACCCTATGATACAAACAGAGATGCCTATACAGTTACGAGAGGCCAGAGTAGTGGGGCTAATAGATCAACAAACTGGTACATGGGATAATGAAATTTTATCAGATTTATTTCAACCTACGGATGTCGAGAGAATTATGAGAGTACCTGTATCCCGGGATTATAATGATGCATGGTATTGGTACGGGGACCCGAGAGGATTATATTCTGTGAAAAGCGGGTACAGACGATTGGTGGGAGATTATGAGAATAATCAAGGCCCCTTTACTAATTGGTTAGCTTTATGGAGACTAAAAATTCCACCAAAGTGGAAAATGTTCCTCTGGAGAGCTATTTGTGATATTTTGCCTACAACTACGAACTTGCTTTTAAAGAGGGTGGAGGTGAACCCATATTGTGCTATGTGTGGGATATCACATGAGAATACAATGCATGCATTAGTCTTGTGTGATTTTGCAAGAAACATTTGGGATCAATCCAACCTTACAATCCCCAATATTGTCACGGATATTTTTCATGTTTGGTTTGGGGAACTTCTAAATATTTTAGATTCTGATGGAATGTTATATGCAGCATCAATTCTATACAATATTTGGAAAGCTCGAAATGGTGCAGTTTGGGAGGCATTTTTACCACACCCGGGGTCCCTACTCAGAGCCGCAGCGGCAGCCAAGACCGCATGGACTCAGTCCCGCCCAGCCGTGGCTGCCACTGCCACTGCTACGCTGCCGACAGAAAACCGCCACGCTGCCCAGGCGAGTCCCACCGCCGGCCGCGGTGCTGCCGACGCCGCCGGATCCTCTGTGCCGCCAGTGAGAAGATGCAGGGTCGATGCGGGATATCTACACGAGACAGGGAATGCAACTGTAGGGGCCGTTTTATTAGATGGAGATGGAGCCTATATCTCGGCACTAACCGCGCCGCTACCGGCCTGTACGTCACCACTTATGGCTGAGGCTTTGGCGTGTAAGGAAGTTTTATCATGGCTAAAGGATCGAGGTGAACAGAATATTGAGATCTACACGGATTGTTTGACACTACAACGCTACCTTACATCATCAACCACTGCGTTTCGCTCTTACGTTGGCTATGCCATTGATAGCTGCAGGCAAATTGCCGTTTATTTTCACTCATGTTCTTTTAATTATATTTCTAGATCGGACAATTATTTAGCTCATGCTTTAGCCACTACGGCTTATCAGCAACCTGATACTATGTACTGGGATACTCACCCACCAGACATTATTTCAACATTTTTCTAATGAAGCACCGCAGAAAATTTTCAAAAAAAAAAAAAAACAAGGTATAAACGTGTAGCTATGCGTTGGTCCATCAAGTCAAACGTGTAGAATGACCAGGGATCGAGTCTCACCAGCGGTAGTGTGGGAGCTACCTCTCAAAGTGAGGGGGTTCCTTGTGTGCAGTGAGCACCGGTTTAGCCTCTGTGGTTGAGCTACCTCTCAAAGTGAGGGGGTTCCTTGTGTGCACTGAGCACCGGTTTAGCCTCTGTGGTTCATGTTCAGTTGAGTTACCATGATTTACATCCTCTCAAATGCTCTGTCGGGTCGGAGTGTGGGGGGCCCTTAGGGTTGGGGTTCAGCCTTTTGGAAGAATGAATGGAAAATATCTTGAGGTTGAAAGAATAAATTATGCTATGGATCAAGGTCTACATAGTATTATAGATCCTGGATCAAAATTACGAGGTACAGAATTCATACTCGTAAGTTACAGAATTTTATAATACAAAGACGCATATACATGTTATATATTTACTTATTTTTTAAATATGATTTAGGTACATGTTTTGTGTTCATAGGCATAGAATTTCACAACACAAAGACACAAAAAATCATAACATAAGACACAATTACTAATTTATTTTAAATACAGAATTCATACTCATAAAATACAGATTCCATAACAGAAAATACAAAAATTCACAACATAACACACATACACATGCACTAGGGTTCATAGTGCACTGTAAAACTTGGTCCATGGTATAAGGATTGTTTAACGACCTACTAGTTCAATAATTGACATAGTATTAATTGATTGATTTCCACCGTTACTTGTAGAATATGATAATGGAGCAGCTGTATTCTCTTGACTGAATATAAATCCAGGTGGTTTAGGACGAGCAAGTTCAATATCATTACTTAACATGAAAATCACATCTGACATAATCGGTCTGTCATCTGGATATAGTTGAACGCACAATAAACCAATATGGACGCACCTCAAAACTTCTCGGCCATCATACGACTCCCCTAATGATGGATCCACTATTTCCACTAATCTTTCTTCATTCCACAAATCCCATACCTGAAAATGTGTAACAAACATCAAAATATTTAAGAAAAAAAAAATTGTAAGAACAATGTATGTTATTAATAAGAAATTGAAATTGTATAGTATAGAGATGCACTTACATCTCCAATTAAATTCAAAGAGTTTTCGTTGTGCTTGTATTTGTTCTTCTTCCCACAAACAATTTCCAACATCAAAACACCGAAACTATACACATCGGACTTTATTGAAAAGTTACCTCCCATTGCATATTCAGGCGACATATAGCCACTGCAATTAATTGACAAAACAACATTTCATGTTATAGACCGACATAAAAGATAGTTATTGGTACTATACACAGGTGAATTGAATGGGGAATGAAGACTTACTATGTTCCAACTACTCGATTTGTGTTTGCTTCGACTTGTTCTTCTTCAAAAAGTCTAGCCATTCCAAAATCTGATATTTTCGGGTTCATGGAGTCATCTAACAAAATATTACTAGCTTTCAAATCTCTATGAACGATTCGTAGTCTAGAATCTTGATGAAGATATAACAACCCTTGAGCAATTCCTAAAATAATTTCAAAGCGCTTTTTCCACTCTAACAACACCCCTTGTCTATTATCTGCAGAACCGTACCATTAAGTAAATATTGTCATGTAGGGTAATATTATTATAGAACTTCAATCATTAATTAATTATAGAACGGTGAGGTTATATATATATACCGAAGATGAAACTGTCCAGGGCTTTGTTAGGCAAATATTCATAAACCAACATCTTCTCCTGTTGTTGAATGCAACATCCTAAAAGCCTCACAAGATTTCTGTGTTGAAGTTTGGCAATTAGCTTCACTTCATTTTTGAATTCTTCTATCCCTTGTTGAGATGTTCTTGAGAGTGTTTTGATAGCTACAAATTGTCCATTTTGCAACATACCCTGCAATTAGAACTGACAAAGCTCAGTTGGTTTGGGTGGGTAGATTGTGGGTGGGTAAGAACGGGCAAAGCAGGATAAGCTCAATTCACAGTAAGTAATGCTATATTCGATGAAAGTTATAGTGTTACCTTGTAAACAGAACCAAATCCGCCTTCTCCAAGTTTGTTATCTGCGGAGAAGTTATTAGTGGCAGCTCTAATGGTGTTTAGATCAAAGGCTAATACATCTGCATGGCCAGCTTCTTCCATATATTTCTCCAATTGTAAACTGGTATTATCACTGCTTGGTGGTGTTTTACCTACAATATAATTAACTTTAAAAGACATCCATTTTCTAATGAATTTACCCTAAAATTTCAAGAAATTCATGTGTGGGGCTCTCCGCTAGAGCTATACCTTTCATGATATTGGTAGAGATCAAACAATAGAGCACAAGAATCACAGCAGCAATGGGCAGAATCACCGAGACTATGAGCCTTTTCCCATGATGCTCTTTAGATTTCTTTACAAGTTGATGATCTGAAAGTAGAGAACTTTGTTTTAAAAGAATAATGATCTAGCAATAGTCTACTAGTATTTTGTCAGTCTCTCAGAATTGTGGTTATGACACTTAATGTGCAATTACAATAAATTGCACACTAATCTTAGAAAATTCACCAAAAGCTAAGTAATTCATAACACATTGAGAATAATCACTATCCTGATCAATGGAACAAGAGTTAGAACAAAGAATTGCTCACTCTTGCGATGTATCAATCTCAAGTCTCACACAAAGCATCAATAACCCCGAAGGTGTAATAAACATACCTAAATCAGATGCAGAGACTCGAACATAAATATCTTGACCTCCACTTGTGAACTCCCTCATATCTATCAACTCTCCATACCAAGTGATGCATCCAGTTCCTCCATCGCTGATATTCGAGCTTGCATATGCCGTGCAAGAACAGTTCTTCAAACACAGCTCCTCACATTCCTCCAACCCAATGGTTCTGTTCACTTCCGCCACTTCAGTGTTCGGGAGCTTGTTGTTCTCTAGTTTCAAGAACCCCTCACCGTTATGGCACACTTCTGTCTCGTTTCTCCAGCACCCTTGGCTCCAATCCCGCCTTGACTTGGGCTTGAACCCAGGGAGACATTTGCAGGCAATCTTCCCAGGAGTGAAGGGATCGCAAACGCCGAACGCCCCACAGTGGCCGTACCGGTCGCAATCGTCGTTGGGGTAGTACCACATCCCCACCCATCTCATCACACCATCATTCCCTTCCTGCCATATGATCTTACTGAACACCCCAGACTCATTTACCATCACTACTGAGTGTATAGACGTGTCCCGTCTCTCATACCACATCGTGACTTTATCGTCGTTGTCGGAGTAGTGATGTTATCACATCTTTGCTTGTTATTATAGTTATTTTGAATCATCTCAGTATTTAAGTTCTTTAATTTTGCTTATTTAATACATATTTTCCTTGCTATTATCATTTAATTATGGTTCACACTTGTTTTGAATGTTTTACGGTGTTTGTTAGTGTTTTTGAACCATTTTAGGTCAAAGATATGAGCAAGGGAAGTTTAAGGATGAGTTTTGAGCAATTTTGGACGAGTTCGGGGCCCAGGGCTCGACGCGTCGAAATTTTCCAGTAGCTAACTAATTCGCGCACAGGAAGTCTCAACGCGTGGAGAAAATTCTCGACGCGTCGAGAGAATAGGCGTCTATTTCTGGGATAAAAACAGACGCTTAAAGCGGCGCAGCTGGGCGAAATTCAATACAAGCGCGAGATCTCTTTTCCTATTATCAATTGCGCGGATTTCAAGGCTCATATCTCCATATTAAAAGTTAGCAATTCAAGGAATCTTCCAAATTCTAAATATCATTAAAGACGACAATTTCTTTATTTAAATATAGGAATTAGAATTTGAGTCCAATTTGGTACAAGATTCCTATTTCATCTTAACTTTGTACCCACTATAAAATCCCTCCTTCCTCAACCCTAATGAAGAGGAGGACCGAGACCGAGACAGAGAGATTTTCAGAGATTCTTGGAGACAAGAAGGAGAGAAATCAAGAGCCACAAGTTGTCTTGGAAAGCAAGAAGAAGACTAGGGAGATTTGGGAAAATCGTCTGGTTAATTCTTGTACTCTTTTGATGATTTGTAATTCTTTATTTATATTTGCTATGTATAATTTAGTCATGCTTGGCTAAATTCTTTAGAGATTCTTGGGTAAAAGTGTTTATGAACCTATGTGCCTGAGCTCTCAGTTTCTTTAATATATTATTATTTGGGTTTAATTCTTGTGTTGCAATCGTGATAATATTGTTTGACGCTTGTAATTAATGGCCATAGTTACTAGCTTCATAGCCATGTTTGTGTCACCAATGGGAGTTGGGGCATAAATTAGGGCACACACGATTGCACCTAATGGTTGGTCCTTGGGAAAGGGGAACTTATTAGGGGAAGTTTATTCTAGATTGTTGCCAATCGGGAGATGGTAGTAATTAGGAATAATTGAATGCTGATCTTTGATCTTATTGGGTGTTTAAGCCATGGGAGTGGAAATTCACTAGGAATAGAGATTACGGGAGTAACTCGATTCCACTTTGCATTCCCACACAAATCTTAATTCCAAACTAAATATTGCAAACGATAATTGGCACTAGGTGATTAAATACTTGAATCCCATGAATCTCAACTTCTCTCTAATTGTTTTCAAAATCCTGAACCTCTGTTTTATTTTTTTATTTATTTTTATGCCAATCAATCATCTAAGTAATTGTTAGGATTAGCTCTAATGAATAAGTTAGTAACTAGTGCTTGATACAACCACTTCCCTGTGGATCGATAACTCGTACTCCGAGAATTATTTGTTTGCAAATATACTACGCATCAAGTAGTAATAGGAGTTGATGTTTGGAGTCATTTCTGGAATGCCGCTCCACCGAACGCCATTCCATGGCCCAAGTCTCCAGACAGGGGACGACGCCTTGTACATAATCGCCTGAGGAATCCCTTTCAGATCCAATCGCACCACATACTCACCCCTGCCGGGATCATCCGCGGACTTCCACGCCGAAAGAAACTGGCTCCGCCCAGTTTTCTTGTCCCCTCTGAATTTCATGTAAGGAAGAAATGTGTCCGTGGGATAATCGAAGCTCTGCCATGGAGTTTCCCGTCTATCTGGGTGGTCATGATACAACACCAGATTCCCAGTTTCTTGTAGCTGAACAGAATAATAAGCTTTTATCCCAGTCGCCGGAAAAGAAAGACTTGTGTTCCAGACAGAAACATTAGTTTTGTTGTCTTGGATGACAAGATTTCCGGTGCTGTCGATGAAGAGGATTCCGGATGTGCCGTTGACGGGGTTGTCTCTGTTAGCAACCCAAACGGCCGTTTCTGGTATTTTTCGGTACCATATTCCGACGTATCGCTTGGCGGAGGTGGAATTTCCGGGAGTGAAGAAACCGAGAGCGTAAGATTTATCATTAGAGATTAATAAATCCCCGTCTTTGAGAGTATGGTTGAAGGTAATGGTGTCTGTGGAACTGCACAAACATACCAGAAATGAAAGAAACATCGTCATCAAGACGATGATTCCTGTGAACATGCTACTTTGTCTTCCCATGTTTTCACTTTTCAGTATGCTGCTGTGTACTGTTGTAAGGAAGAATGAAGTGAAACGATACAGATAGATGATGCATATATATTACTTGATTTACAAAATGATTTTACTATGTATTTGGTACAATTAATTGATCCAATTGTTTGGAAAACTTGGGAATCAAGAAGACTAATGCCAGTTTCCCTCTTAATTGTTTGCTGGCTTGGTCTGTGGTAGACGTGGATGGTTGGGGAGATGGAAGAAAAGGTCAAAATTGAGACTGATGTATGTTTACTTATTTGTAGAAAATTGAATATGCTGAAATATAAGTTTTGGAAAATGTAATTAATGCAATACATATTACGATTTTAGTGCATTGATTTACACAATTTTCCAAAATAACCACTTGTAGTATAATAATATAATGTTGGATTGAGATTTTGCCACATAGCTAGGGTATAGTACTATTGACTGTTGAGATAAATACAACCAATTAAGGTATAGAATTTATGTCACCTTGCGCTCGAAACAATATAGAATAATAGACTTAAAAGTGATCACTGATCATCAAGTATCCAACTAGTCTCGAGGTCCTCACTCATGATCTGATTTATGACCTATAAAACTGGATGCATGTAGTCTAAAAACATGAATACAGTTACAACCCCCCGTATATTCTCACCGTCGGAATCAAAACTAACTTGCCTCAATATATGCCAATGACATTGTGGTGTGGTTTAGTGGTACAAAGTGACTCTTTTATATAAGAAGTCATGGGTTTGAACCTTAATGAGGACGATTTTGACTTTTTGTATTTTAGTAGATTGAGAAAGGGATGTATCATCACCTTATTTTAATAGTTATAATGCACTTAATTATACCTTGTTTTCTATAAAAAGTTTGAACTTCGAACTCTACTAAAATTAAAAGTTTAAAACCATAATGTTTCTTGTATAAATCCCTGGGTTACCAAGAACTTCATTTATTCCATACTTTGCTCGTATTTTTTACATTGAATAGTCAATCGTACCTAACTATCTATAATAAATACTTGGATTAGCCTGTTGATTCCTAAGTAGTAGATGGTAGGCAATAAATACTGGGATTATAGTGCTTCAATTTACACTAACTAGCAGTAATCATTATGTTGAATGCTTCATGCATTATTGTCTCTGTCCATTTTGTTAGTTGGAGGGAGGGATGAGTGATTTAGCATTGATTACATTGAATTCAGTGGTTATTATCCTTTGGAAGGGGTCAATTATGCCTCTGCATTATTTGAGCAATTAATGTCCCTTGTTGAAATGATCAATTTGAGCTTGCATTTGCTACATAAATACGACGTTTTTATTTATTTATTTTTATTATCATTATTTTATTAGGTTCAATCCAATTCAATACAGTTCCGTGTACAATCATTTAGTAATCACCAACTACGAGTCATTCAGTCACTTATAAGATAAAGTTTCCGATTGGGTAAAAAAAACAAAAAACAAACAAGGTATAAAACGTGTAGCTATGCGTTGGTCCATCAAGTCAAACACGAATGGAAAATATCTTGAGGTTGAAAGAGTAAATTATGCCATGGACCAGGGTCCACATAATATAATGGACTCTGAATCAAAATTATAAAGTACAGAATTCATACTTGTAAGTTACAGAATTGCATAACAAAAGACAAAAAATCATATCACAAGATACATATACATGTTATATATTTACTTATTTTTTAAATATGATTTAGGTAGGCATAGAATTTCACAATACAAAGAGACAGAAATTCATAATACTAATTTGTTTTAGGTACAGAATTCATACTTATAAAATACAGATTTCATAACACAAGACACAAAAATTCACAACATAACACACATACACATGCACCAGGGTTCACAATGCACTATAATTCCTGCTCCATGGTATAAGGATTGTTTAACGACCTACGAGTTCAGTAATTGACATAGTATTAATTGATTGATTTCCACCGTTACTTTTAGAATATGAGAATGGAGCAACTGTATTCTCTTGATTGAATATAAATCCCGGTGGTTTAGGACGAGCGAGTTCAATATCATTACTTAACATGAAAATCACATCTGACATTATTGGTCTGTCATTTGGATATAGTTGAACGCACAATAGACCAACATGGATGCACCTCAAAACTTCTCGACCATCATATGACTCCCCTAATGATGGATCCACTATTTCCATTGATCTTTCTTCATTCCACAAATCCCAAACCTGAAAATGTGTAACAAACATCAATAATTAAGGAAAAAATTGTAAGAACAATGTATGTTATTACTAAGGAATTGAAATTGTATAGTATAGAGATGCACTTACATCTCCAATTAAATTCAAAGAGTTCTGGTTGCGCTTGTATTTGTTCTTCTTCCCACAAACAATTTCCAACATCAACACACCGAAACTGAATACATCAGATTTTACAGAAAAATGACCCTCCATTGCATATTTCGGTGACATATAACCACTACAAAACAATACTTAACATTATAGTCTTAACCGTCAGTATGTTTATTATATTCATACACAATTAGTAAGGAGAAACACTCACAATGTCCCAACTACTCGATTTGTGTTTGCTTCAACTTGTTCTTCTTTAAAAATTCTAGCCATTCCAAAATCTGATATTTTTGGTTGCATGGAGGCATCTAACAAAACATTGCTAGCTTTTAAATCCCTGTGAATGATTTTTAATCTAGAATCTTGATGAAGGTATAATATCCCCTGAGCAATTCCCGAGATAATTTCAAAACGCTTTCTCCAATCCAAAGACATCCCCTCTCTATTGTCTGCAAAACCATTAAATAAAGTTGTTCATGTAATATTACAAGTATGAGCTAGATGAAGTATTGTTTAGCCTTAGCTGGTGTATATTTACCGAAGATGAAACTGTCGAGGCTTTTGTTGGGCAAGTACTCATACACCAACATCTTCTCCCCTCGTTGAACGCAACATCCTAAAAGCCTCACAAGATTTCTGTGTTGGAGTTTCGCTATTAGCATTACTTCATTTTTGAATTCTACTATCCCTTGAAGTGAAGTTCTTGTGAGTCTTTTGACAGCTAAAAGTTGTCCATTTTGCAATTTACCCTGCACTTACGGGCAATGCTCAATTAATTAGCGGTAACCAAATTATTATTGTAAAACTATACAGCAAAAGTTGTATTGTTACCTTGTAAACAGAACCAAATCCACCTTCTCCGAGTTTATTATCTTCAGAGAAGTTATCAGTGGCAGCTTCGATGGTGTTGAAATCAAAGGTTAACACATCTGTGGGTGCTTCGTCTGATAGCAAACTGCTTGTGGTATTGCTTGGTGGTTTTTTCCCTACAATTAACGTTAAAAGGCATCCATTTTCAAACCTTAAAATTCCAAGAAACTCATGTCAAGAGCTCTATGTCTAGAGTTATACCTTTTCTGATTTTGAGTATCAAACAGAAGAGCACAAGAATGACTGCAGCAATGGGCACAATCACAGTGGCTGTGAGCCTTTTCTTACCAAGCCCTTTAGATTTCTCTACAGGTTGAACTGAAAAAGAGAAATTAAAAGAATATAGTCTCTAATATTATATATGGGGTGAGTCTCCAGTGGGACTTTCAAATAGAAATATAATATAAATGAAAGATAAATTGATTGTTACTTAGAGAAAAAAATATAATATTTTTCAATTAAAATTTAGTATTTAAAGATTAAATAGTTACTTAGGAAAGAAATATAAAATGTTTTATATATATAATATATGTTATATATTATATATTATCAAAGCCTTAATTACATGGTAAGATATCAAGAACCCTTGTTGTCCACTGATTTTTGCAGAAATTATAAAAAAAAAAAAAAAAGATACCTAAATAAGATGCAGAGACTCGAATATACATATCTTGGCCTCCATTGGTGAACTCCCTCATATCAATCAACTCTCCATACCAAGTGATGCATCCTGTTCCTCCATTGCTGATATTGGAGCTTGCATATGCCGTGCATGAACAGTTGCTCAAACAACGCTCCTTGCATTCTTCCAACCCTATACCTGTGTTCACCTCCGCCGTTTCAGTGTCTGGGATTTTCATGCTCTCCATTCTCGCGAACCCCTCACCGTTATGGCACACCTCTGTGTTATTCCTCTGGCACCCATTTCTTCCGTCTCCCATCTCCCATTCCTTGCTTGACTTAGGCTTGAACCCGGGGAGGCATTTGCAGGGAAACCCCCCCTGATTTTGGGCATTGCAAACGCTGAAGGAACCACAGTGAGCATAAACGTCACAGTTGTCTTGGGGGAAGTACCAAATCCCGATCCATCTCTTCATATCGTCATCTCCTTGCCATATGATCTTACTGAATGCCCCAGATTCGTTTACCATTATTATTGTATATACAGACGGGACCAGTGTCAAGAACTCCATGGAGACCTCGTCCTGGTTTTCGATGTAGACGTAGGAGTTGATGTTTCCAGTCATTTCTGGAATGCCGCTCCATCTAACTCCATTCCATGACCCAATTCTCCACACCGGCCGGGTTTTGTCCTTGTACAAAATTGCCTGAGGCCTCCCTTTCAGCTCCCATCTCAGTACATACTCGCCCGGGCTGGGATCGTCCGGCGACTTCCACGACGTCACAAACCGATCATGGCCAGTTTTCTTGTCCACTCCCATTTTCATGTTCGGGAGTATTGTATTTGTGGGATAATCGAAACTCTGCCATGGAGTGGTCCGGCTATTCGGGTGGTCATGATACAAAACCAGATTCCCAGTTTCTTGTAGCTGAGCAGAATACGCTTTTATCCCCGTGGCTGAAAAAGAAAGACTTGTGTTCCAGACAGAAACATTGGTTTTCTTGTCCTGGATGACAAGATTTCCGGTGCTGTCGATTAAGAGGATTCCGGATGTACCGTTGACGGGGTTGATCCTGTTAGCAACCCAAACAACCAATTGGTTTGGTATTTTTCGGTACCAAATTCCGACGTATCGCTTGCCGGAGGTGGAATTCCCGGGTGTGAAGAAACCGAGAGCATAAGATTTTGCATTGGAGATTAATAAATCCCCGTCTTTGAGAGGTTGGTTGAAGGTAATGGTGTCTGTGGAGCTGCACAAGCATACAAGAAATGAAAGAAAC